CACTTTCTTTTCAAATCTGTAAAAATCTAAGATTTTAGTAAGAATTCCACATTATACTATTATTGTTGTTGTTTCCTCTTTTTTTTTTTTTTTTTGTTTCATTTCATTCTGTACATAAATGGAGCATGAACAATAGGCTCGATCATTAGCTTGGTAAAATCAAGATGCTTGCTAGTAGCAATTTGGGATTTCTTTTTCGAATCAAATTGATTCAAAACTTTCCAAATTAATAGCCTGATTCAGAAGATAGTGAAATTCTGTTTTCAAATCAGGATATCATATAATACTGTGTTGAATTGGATTAGTTGCGCAGTACTATTGAAGCAAAAGTTTATAATAATGTGGTAACTGTGGTAGAATAGAGCAGGAAGTTTCCTCATATAAGTATAGTTTTATAGCTTTGTAAATTTTGGTCATTATCGGTCCTAAAAATTTCTGGGAGTGTATCAATTATTTTAATTCGAGAGAAGTTGAGAGAGTAATTCGGTTCAAAAGTTGTGAAGCCCATTTAAAGAAGTCTTTTATGCTTATTCCTTTCCGCATCAGCTAATCGTGGCTTAGGTCGAATTCAGTACGAGCTGGAAGCGTAACTCAAACCAATCACAAGCGGGAACAAAATGAGTGGATGTAGCAAAAATGTGGGCTAAAGCAATGCCATTTTGGGAAAAGTAGATATATTCAGACTCACATTTTTGTTGACAGATTGGGTATAAATTGTCACAAAGGTGGTGCTGCGGTTTCTATCCATATGTTTTTTCAGCTGTCTTTGATGCCTGACAGTTTATTTACCAAAGCTGAGGTCGTAGTAAACATCTCATATTGTTAATGGAGTCTTGAAAATGCCAGCTGCCCCTTTGGCCTAAAATTCGTAAATGTAGTCACACTCATTGCAAATGCACAAAACCAAGTGTTGAGATGTTGTTAATGGTTTCTCTGCGGCTTTCAATGATACAAAAAGTTGCTCATTTTTTGTGCTTCACTCAAGTTATTCGAAGTGTTTAACTAAATTCTCAGCGGTTCAAGGGTCAAATGGCTCGGTGGCCCCAGTTGTGGAGTGGCACAACGTATTTGCTGGAATTTATGAATGCATCTGGATATTAGCTGAACTCTAATGAGACGAATTTGGCGTCGTAGGATGGAATATACAGCAAGGACAAAATATATCACAATGCTGGCCATTTCCCATAGTTGATCCCACGTGACTATTACGGCTCTGATTGGATGCAGTTATTCTGATCCCACTAAGAAAGACATGTTTCTAGCTTTTACACTTTTTGCATATACTTCTATGCAAAGGATCTCATGGTTTCGCTGATCTAACATATCTATTTTTATCTTGTTATTAATGGATGAGTACTAATAAATTTAGACTGCTCGTTGACAACATTATGCTGTCTATTACTACTTCTATTATTAGCAATTTGTGTTTAAACTCCTTCCATTGAATAATCGAACAACTCTACAACATTTCTGTTATTACTGTTACTCTCCCGGTTTCTCAAACTTAATTCTGCAATTGTGGATATCAATACCACTTTGATTTTGAAACTCCAACATGAATTCTTTCTATTGTTCTCAATGCCCAATACAAGCTGGAAGCTATAAATGATCTCTCTCACACCAATTTAAATTTCAGGCCAATGTTATCATAGCAGTACTATTGCACGATATTTGCTGAAAATAGGTCTGTTGTTTCTATTATATTTGTTCCACTTTTACTGCCAATTGCTGTTTAAACCACACATCATAGTGGTTATGATTCTGCAATTATTTTTTTTGCTTATTCTATTCAGTGTAATTTTTTTTCAAAATTAAACCTCATTTCTTTTTTTTAAATCATTTGAATTTTGGCACTATTTGGAGTCTTTTTAGAATTATTTATCAATGTCATAATTATTTTGATTACATTAATAGAATTAGTTTAAGTTGTATTTGAAAATGGTTTTGCATTGAACTTGGGTTGTTCTGTTTAATTTATTTTTTTTCTTTGAATTTTAGGCATTGTTTTTCAAATAAATTATTTTTTTTCTACAAAATCATTACCTTCTAGTGTTTTTTTGTTGTAGTTGTTGCTGGTGAAAACCCTGTTTTAACTTAGAGATTTTGATATTTTGATATTGAAATTGGTAAAGGTTGTATGAAACTTTTGTTATCCTGTTTTATCAACAAAATGTCATTCTTTAAAAAATGCAGTTGTGATTTCATTTTTGAAAAATCAAGTTTATTAAAATCAAGTTTTGGAGGCATTTTTGATAAGGGGAACAACATAGAATAAATTAAATAAAAAGCGAAATTAAATCATCATTAATTAATTGAATAGTTACAAATTAATGGTAATTACTATTCGATGGATATATTAGATAGATTATTATATAAATTAATATTTAGCGCTGAGAAAGGTATTGATATAGATTTTAATGATGTTGTGTAGCAACCAAAATGGTATATAAGAAATAATTCTTCTTTTAAAGATTTAGTTATAATGAAGGGTTTTTTTGTCATTGGATATACTACCCTTAGTGTATTTGTCAACCTCGACCAAAGCAGAGAGTTTGATTGTTTTAAAAGCAGCATTAAGATATAGTTATATGTCTTTCAATAATAGCTAAAAGTATGTCTATTGAAATAGCTTAGCAATTATAAAAGATTATAAATTTATATATTCATTGTTTGAAAAAACTATAGCTGCTATTATGATATAAAAAAATATGAATCTCAAACCATGGAACCGTTCCATTTTCATTGTCAATTAGTTTATGCACTTATCATAACAGCAAAAATTAATAATAGGAATAACAACTATACCCAGAAGACAAAATATTGGAGAAATATCCTTGTTATCTTTAATTGTTCAACTGGTTATATCTATCTGAAAACATGTTTGATTATTCTACATTCACAAAGATTGTAATGGGTGTTATTTAAAAAAGAAAATTATTCTGTCAATAATAATGCATTAAAACAATTTTCATGGACCAAGAACATTTTGTTTGCAAAATGGAGATCCTTTGCATAGAAGTATATGCAAAAAGTGTAAAAGCTAGAAACATGTCTTTCTTAGTGGGATCAGAATAACTGCATCCAATCAGAGCCGTAATAGTCACGTGGGATCAACTATGGGAAATGGCCAGCATTGTGATATATTTTGTCCTTGCTGTATATTCCATCCTACGACGCCAAATTCGTCTCATTAGAGTTCAGCTAATATCCAGATGCATTCATAAATTCCAGCAAATACGTTGTGCCACTCCACAACTGGGGCCACCGAGCCATTTGACCCTTGAACCGCTGAGAATTTAGTTAAACACTTCGAATAACTTGAGTGAAGCACAAAAAATGAGCAACTTTTTGTATCATTGAAAGCCGCAGAGAAACCATTAACAACATCTCAACACTTGGTTTTGTGCATTTGCAATGAGTGTGACTACATTTACGAATTTTAGGCCAAAGGGGCAGCTGGCATTTTCAAGACTCCATTAACAATATGAGATGTTTACTACGACCTCAGCTTTGGTAAATAAACTGTCAGGCATCAAAGACAGCTGAAAAAACATATGGATAGAAACCGCAGCACCACCTTTGTGACAATTTATACCCAATCTGTCAACAAAAATGTGAGTCTGAATATATCTACTTTTCCCAAAATGGCATTGCTTTAGCCCACATTTTTGCTACATCCACTCATTTTGTTCCCGCTTGTGATTGGTTTGAGTTACGCTTCCAGCTCGTACTGAATTCGACCTAAGCCACGATTAGCTGATGCGGAAAGGAATAAGCATAAAAGACTTCTTTAAATGGGCTTCACAACTTTTGAACCGAATTACTCTCTCAACTTCTCTCGAATTAAAATAATTGATACACTCCCAGAAATTTTTAGGACCGATAATGACCAAAATTTACAAAGCTATAAAACTATACTTATATGAGGAAACTTCCTGCTCTATTCTACCACAGTTACCACATTATTATAAACTTTTGCTTCAATAGTACTGCGCAACTAATCCAATTCAACACAGTATTATATGATATCCTGATTTGAAAACAGAATTTCACTATCTTCTGAATCAGGCTATTAATTTGGAAAGTTTTGAATCAATTTGATTCGAAAAAGAAATCCCAAATTGCTACTAGCAAGCATCTTGATTTTACCAAGCTAATGATCGAGCCTATTGTTCATGCTCCATTTATGTACAGAATGAAATGAAACAAAAAAAAAAAAAAAAAGAGGAAACAACAACAATAATAGTATAATGTGGAATTCTTACTAAAATCTTAGATTTTTACAGATTTGAAAAGAAAGTGATAATTTTATTTCTTTTTTATTTTAATTGCAAGAGTAATAGCAAATGAGAGGGCCAAAGTCTTTCAAAAGTGAATGCTTTTGTTTTTGCTTTTGTTGAATTTGAATTTGAATTTGATTCGAATCCTCCATTACTGGAATAGTTAATAATAGATTTTAATAGATTTTAATAGGTCTTTTGTGCGCACTGATCAGTGTGAACCCGCTAATTTGGTCCCTACTCCAAATGACTATAAAAAGACAAAAAGTAAAATTTGGGCAGTACCATCTCTACATTACTATCTTCATTTTGTTCTTTATCTTTTAACTTCAAAAAATAACCCCAACTGTTAAACATTTATTTCAAGAAGCATGTTAGCATCTATCTCGCAAATAGTGCAAATAGTGGCAAAAGAAAAATGAAGGAGTCAGTCTTCTTTTGGCTAATATTGGCTAATATTGGCCAATACTAACTATGAATTAATAACTGAACTGACTTCACATAGTGATTTTACAGCACAAAGTAACAAAAGAAACAAAAGAAACCAAACTAATGAATGAAAGTTCCTGAATCAGACGCAGCATTGGTGTTTCTTTTATATTCCTTTTTATGAGTTGATCCACATCCCGTAATCTGTTCAGCTTCCTACCAAGAGATGATCCAACAATAGAAACATCTGTAATAATAGTAATAGGCATGGCTATATTGATAGTAGCGAGAACAATACTATCGGCCACAACAACAATAATACCAATTGCATTGATACAACGTGCAATAAAAACAGGATTGGTTAATGGATTCAATTGTTTATTTGTCTTCAGTCTGATTAGATCCTATCACTTAATATATACTTGACATTTATCACCTAAAAAGCTCAGCTCTGGCCAAATTATTAACAAGTACTTTCACCAATAGTATTTCCTGGAGCCAATTTGCTAGATTAACTGTGTCTTGCAAATATTTCTTTAGCCAACCATCCCAATATTACATTATCATTCCAAACTTTAAATTTAATCATTAGGACTGTGGAAATGGTGGAGAATAATACACTCATATTTTTGGTTTGTCATTGCAGGAACTTTTAAAAATAATTAATCTCGATAATATTTCATTTTATGTTGTTGAGACTTGGGGTTATTTTTTCAACGTATAGTTATTTTTAACATTTGGTTTGTTTTTGACTTTCTTTTCTTTGTCAAGTAAATTTGTATAAATTGAGTAGGTATCGTTCTTAACTTATTAGTCCTTATTTTTTCTTTTTTCAACATCAAGATATTAAAGCAATCACAATCATATATACCTCCTTTATTTTAATCAAACTTACAATCTAATTTATAAACTTCTTTATTTCTTAAAAAATGATGAAAACACAAGTTCTTTACTTAATTATTTCATTGCTCGTTGCCGCTCAAGCGATCCCAGTTCCTCAAGCAGAGGCATTAGCTGAGGCAGTTGAACCTGAAGTTGAACCTGAAACCGATTTAATCGTTGAAGAAGATTTGAAAAAACGTAGCGATAATGGTAATGACAACGGTAATGTTAATGGTAATGCCAACGGTCCCGGTGGCTGGAACGGAAATTACAATGGTAACCAGAATGGTAATTATAATGGTGGATGGTACTCTTATAACAATGGTAACTCCAACGGTAATCAAAATGGTAACGAGAATGGTGCTGGTGGTAACAATGGTAATGTTAATGGAAATGAAAATGGAAACTACAATGGTGGTTGGGTTTCTTATTACAATGGTAACAATAATGGTAACTCTAACGGTAATGCCAATGGTGCTGGTGGAAGCAATGGTAACAGCAATGGTAACTCTAATGGTAATTCTAATGGTGGCTATTGGGGCTATTCAGGATACAATGGTAACAATAATGGTAACCAAAACGGTAACCAAAATGGTGCTGGAGGTAACAACGGTAATGGAAATGGTAACAGCAATGGTAATGGTAATTAGACTTGCTAACTTTCTAAGTGTAATTTCCATCAAATAGTTCAAGGTTATCCTTACCTATTCAGCAATTAATGATATCTCTTATTTTAAGGCCAGCTTATTCTTTATACCTTTTGCATCCTTCTTGTTCCAATTATTTTATTGGTAGAAAATTTTACTTCAAATATTAATTCTTGTTTTTGAAGTTGAAATTTTTGAATTAGTTCTTTGCTAACTTTAAAACTTTTTAAATTTTTCTTTTAGTTTTACTGTAATTAATATTTAATTTTACTTTTAATTAACGTTGTAGTAATCAAATGAGTATGGAAATACTTTTTGAATTATTTAAACTTAGAAAAAATGATCAAAATAGCTGTAGCTCAAAACTTCAAGAAAATCACTGTAACAGCAAAAACGTTCTTCAAACCATTCAATGCAATTGATATTATGGGACTAATCAAAAGTTACCAAATTACTTTTACAGTTTTGTTGCTTCAAAATTCTATATCCCACTCTCATTTTGAAAAGTCAAGTTAGATATGTTTCGATTAATAGTTTGGTTTAAATTTCCTCTGATCATTGAGCTCAATTAAAGAAATGGACATGAAACCAGATTGCTTATGGATTAAACTTTGCCACAATGTGGCACACTTTATTATATTACAAATACAGCATTTACGAAAGCTGAGCCTTGACAATAGTGCACTGAGGTGATGCAACAATGCACAACGCACGTCCATGCCGCACTTGTTGCATTTTAAATCGAGTGTCGGAAAAATGCTCTATTTAAATTTTCTTTTCATTGCATTTCTTAAATACACAAATCTAATAATTGCCAGAAAAGTTCAATTGATATTAACAGAGCAAGTATTCACTCCTCTAATAGACTCGCTTTTTATTAACTAATAAACAAATAACAAATTGCAGCACTTAGTTTTTATTTAATTCAGTTTTGTTAATCCTCGAAACAGAACATATTACAGCTACATCAAAAGATATGAGGTAAAATTAACAATGCTCAAAATTAATATAATCGTTTGTATAGTATTGCTATACATTGGTTGGAATCTTGAAGCCTGGAATTATCTGTGATATCTAGATATATGGAAAAGTGAGATAAGCCGAAAATTATAGAATACTTTAGTATTATGCGGGTCATTTAATTGAAACTAGTCTGTAAATTAGATTTTTAATTGGCTTGGGAAATTAAAAACTTTAAAGTTTGTGTTTTTTTGACCTGAGCATAACCACCTAATATATTTTTTCTCATATACTTCTGAATATTTCCTAATGTTTTTTGATCTTTTAATAATCATATTGTTCAACCTGCAGACAAATTTGGTAATTAATTTTATAATAATAATTGCGTTTTTGCTCAAAAGAGCAAACATAATTCTTACATTATTCGATATGTTGACTGGCAAAAATCATCATGTTTGTTTCACTTTTGTTTGTGTTCTGAAACAATACTGTAAAAAATATTAGTTGATATAAACTAAATAAAACCAAGTGAATGGCAAGTATTGAGCAGAACATATAATACTTTTGGCAAATAAATTACAATCGCAAAATTCTCAACAATAAAACAAATGAAATGTATCAAATCTGTAAAAAATATAAAGAACTATATAGTAACTGCATCTAAAAATACTTTTTAAAGCAAAATTATGAAGATTTAATTAGACCAAACAATAATATCTGATTTTTATCAGAAATAAATAAAATAATTTCATATTTTAGTTTTAAATTTTGGAAATAATTTTTATTTTTTTTAATCAAGATTTTCGCTTTTTCAATTTCAATGGGCTTGAATTAGAACTGGCTTTCACCAAGTTCCTCAAATAATTTTTCCATTGAGTCCAAATTTTTTTTGGCTAGTTCCGATAACACTTTATAAAAACCAGTGTTGTTATACACTCGCTTCATGACTTTCAATAATTTTTTTTTGTTTTCTGTCCTTTTATTTTTGATTCTTTTTGCTTTCATAATTTTGCGACATTGGATTTATAGAGCTATCATTTCATTGCAAGGAACTTGATTTGGAGAGATTTCAAGCTCCATAGTTGATGACGATTTTTTGTTAGAGTTTCGTTCAGCCTCATCTTAAAGCATCTGGTTAAATTCTCGTAGCAACTTCTCAAGTTTGGCAGTGTTTGCAGCAACCTGATCCTCAGAAAAATCTTTTTGACCAGATTCGGTTAATTGAGGCATGTCCCAAAAGTAATAGCGACAACAATTTAACAATTAAAAAATTGATTTAAAATTTGAATTTAATGAAACAAACAAAATAATCATTTGCAAAAAATTCAGAAACGTGCAAAAAAACAATTTTGAGTTCCTTCTTAATTAAACAGCAATATTGATACAATGTGTTTATCCGCAATTCCTGTATTCAAAGGCGGAATAATATATATTGCTTTGAAATCAATTTACAACCATTTTTATGATTCTATTTGCATCTAACTAAATGATTTCAGGTCTTTAACAACAGCAATCTACGTACATAGATATATAGTGTAGACATTGCTGATACAAAAATCAAAAAGTTGTTTTTGTTTTAATATATTACAATTATTTTTTTTTAAAAAACTAAGAACACACCTATTGGGGTTCTTGCACGGTGTTGTTTATTAGTTGGTATATAAAACTACAAAAACTGTCCCTGTAATTTTACCATGAATGTGAGAAAACCCTAGAGGGAAGAAAACTCACATCAAGGACGAATAAATTTAGGTAAGAAATTGATGTTATATCGTGTTTATTTTATAAATTTCCATGCATGGGTAACAAAAACATATAGTTTCTGTAGGCCCTCTTTTTTTCCTAGGTAGTGTATGATTGCAGCGTCAACAGGAACGGTTAACACTGTGCTTTTATTCTCGCTTCAATGTTAAGTGGGCATTAAAATATGTAATGACTGATTGTAGGATTATCGAAGAAACAAGGGCATTGATTAATTATTACAATGCCAGAGTTCTCTCAAAAAATTTACTAAATTTTAAATCCAAAGGTATTGAAAATATTTTTCAGATAAACTCTGAATCTTAGCAGTCTCCGTGATAGTTTAGTGGCTAGAATTACCGCTTGTCGCGTGGTAGACCGGGGTTCAATTCCCCGTCGCGGAGGTTTTCTTTTTGCTGCTACAACGTTGTTTTTCTTTGCCAGCTGAACATATATAAATCTCTACAACTTTCATAAATACTACCTGTGTTTTTCTTCTACGGTTTAGTGCACATCTACCGCCTATTGGAGTGGCAATTTATATTCTATCAATTTATTCTTTACTCACGAAAATGTCTAGAGGTCATCAAAAGGAGCAAGCTCGTGAAAGAAACGCCAAAAAAGGTGGAAACTCCAAAAATAAAAAAAGTGGAGATCCTCAAAAAAGAAAAGAAGAAGACAAGGAAAAGGCATTAGCAGCCAGAGCTGAAAGGGCTGCCAAAAAAATTGCTAAGGATGAAAAAAAATCCAAAAAATGAACAATTTCTCATTTGTGATGGTCAATCTATCAATGAATACTATATACTGCTGTAAATGTTTTCAACGTCAACACGTTGTCTGCCCGGTTTAGTTATGTGGAATGTTTTGTTAGTTTTGTCTCTTTATTTATTTGTTTTTTACTGATTGCATTTACAACTATATAGCCATGACGTTTCTGATAACGTTCCAAATACATTAGCATCCACTTTTTACGTCTCTAACCATTTGCTCTGTTCCTTTTTGCTTCATCTCATCTATCAAAATAAGACCATCCACACAGGTGGCGTCGTGGTCAGATGATACTACACGTGAGCAATGCCGGCCAATCACAGCGCTTTTGAAACTGCGAAAAAGCAAATCGTTCACCCTGTGAATTTGTTCAATATCTATATATTGGGTCTAGTATTACTTAGAATCAGCACTACTTCTTTTCAATTTACTGATAACGGTTGCTAAAGCGTTTTTTAGAAATGAGCTTAAGAATCTTGTCCACTAGAGCTATTAAACCAGCTTCAAAATTAGCTGCAACCCAATTATCTTTACGTTCCATTCCGTATGTTTCTTTATTTTTCACATTCAATTCAATTTCGATTTATCTATCTGCTTCATTTTTTATCTACTTTAATTTCACCTGGTCCAACAATGTTTTCCTTTTTCTAACAATGTCTTTTTAGAATTGGTGTTCGTCATTATTCAGCTCCTGTTGAACCAAAAGCAAAAGCCTCTTCCATTATCGATTCTTTACCAGGAAATGGAATTTTAAGTAAAACTGGAATCTTAGCTACTGGAATTGCTGGTTCTGTTTATGCAATTTCTTCCGGTTTTTATGTTGTTAATGAAGAAACTTTGTTAGTTATATCCTTTGGTGGTGTCTGTATATTAGTCTCAAAACTATTGGCTCCATTGTATACCGATTTTGCTAAAGACCGTATTGCCAAAATCACTTCAATTTTAAATAACTCAAAATTAAAACACATTGATTCAATCAACTCAAGAATTGACGAGGTATCCAAATTAAAAGATATCAAACCAATCACTAATGCTTTATTTGATGTCTCAAAGGAAACCCTTGAATTAGAGAAAAATAACTTTGAATTAAAACAAAAGATTAATATTTTAAATGAAGCAAAATCAGTTTTGGATTCATGGGTAAAATACGAAAACTCAATTAAATTATTGGAACATCAACAATTGTCCTCTTCAGTCATTAAGAGTGTCTCTTCAAAATTAGACGATAAGACTTTTCAAAATCAAATCTTGTCTCAAAGTGTTCAAGAAGTTGAAAAAATTTTTGCAAGTCATTAAATTATATATAAAATGAATTGATATACAAATAATATCGAGATTTTTATTCAGCTGAATTCAGTTACATTCAATTGATTTTTCCCATATATACTTTAAAAATAAATTAAATATTCCATTTTATATTAAATCTGTTGCTTTTATCGATCTAGTAGCTCCTAGAGAAATTATTTCTAGAATATTTCTTCATCTTCCAAGTTTAGCTTTTAGAAAACATACTTAGCACGTGCTATATATTGTATTATAATGTATATATATGCATAACACGCATATATATGCATACTCTTTGGTTTTATTGAAATCTTTTTTTTTGTTGATTTCAAATCTTTCTTCCAATAATTGTTGGTTTTATCTTTTGAAGAGCTACTTAAATATTTTTATTAACTTTCCTTCTGAATAGTTATTCATTGATTCAATTCTTTTTATTTCCATTTTATATCTTATCACTTCTTAACAATGGCAACCTCTTACTCAGTGGATTCGACTAGATCTTACATGAATGCAATGAACCATATGATTAATTCATTAGATGTCTTGATTCCAAACAACTCTTATTCCTTTTCGTCTTCTAACATATCTTCTGCCAAAAATTTTAACGAAAAACCATTAAATGAGAAATTTAAAAAATTTAATAAAGCTCTATCCTCTTTTACTATGAACCAAGATAATTTTGATTTAAATTTTCTAAATTCTCTAAACATCTACAATTTGTCAAATAATGATAATGAGCAACAAAAAAATACGACCGGTGTCAATGATAATGACTTAAATTATTATAACCAATTTAAATTCGAAATTGAAAAAGTTTCTCGGGGAAATGTTAATATTAATTCAACTGATTTAATAAACTCAATTTTATTACTAATCTATGAGAATAAAGATGATAATGTTTTGCAATCAAATTTATTTGACATTTTAGGCTTCGATAATTTTGATTTAATTTCTAATATATTATCAAATAAATCTTCTCTATTAAACTATTATATTCATAAAAATACCTCCAATAATAACGATGGTAATAATATTACTAATATTACCAATAGTAGCATTAGCATTGATAATGATAGCAAAATTCTCAATTTGGCTTCTAATATTAATAGCATAGTCAATAGAAATATTATTAATGCTTCATTGAATATTAACACTATTGATGAAAGTAATCCAAATAAAGATATAAAATATCCAAATGTATTCAAATCTTATGATTCAAATAACATCTTATCGTTAACTGGAAAAAAGTATTCCTTACCGGTTGGGTCAACAAGGTTTTCTTTCAATGATCATGAGCAGATAATTATCCCATATCCAAATTCACCCAAAAATAATGCCTCTAAAAATTTTCATTTTAATCTTGAGAATATCAAAATCAAGATCAAAAATTTGGATTTTTTGTGTCAAAGATGTTTTGCTAATTATTCAACCTTAAATCCTGTTCAGTCTTTAGTTTTTCCTGTTGCATATAATACAAATGAAAATATGCTAATTTGTGCTCCAACTGGAGCCGGTAAAACTGACATTGCTTTATTGACCATTTTGCATACTATTAATTCTTATTTAATCCAAGTTCCTAAATCAGTCAACAAAGGTTTTAGCAAACCAGGCGTTTTAAATTCAGATGAATCTGATGAAACAGATGATTTAAATGAAAACCCAGAATTTGAAATAAATCTAAACGATTTTAAAATTATTTACATTGCTCCTTTAAAAGCTCTAGCTTCTGAAATTGTTTCAAAATTTTCCAAAAAGTTAAACTGGCTAAATATAAAAACAAAAGAATTGACTGGTGATATGCAATTAACAAAAAATGAAATTTTGCAAACTCAAATCATTGTGACAACACCCGAGAAGTGGGACGTCATAACGAGAAAATCAAATAGTACAGATAATGAGCTAATTTCAAAAGTAAAATTACTAATTATTGACGAAGTGCATTTGTTACATGAAGATAGAGGCTCGGTTTTAGAATCATTGGTTGCAAGAACTTTGCGACAAGTGGAATCTACACAATCGATGATTAGAATTGTTGGTTTAAGTGCAACTTTGCCAAATTATATTGATGTTGCTGACTTTCTTGGTGTAAATAGAAATACTGGAATGTTCTATTTTGATCAGTTTTTTAGGCCAGTTCCATTAAAACAGGAAATCATCGGTTGTAAAGGCAAACCGAATTCATCTCAGTTGAGAGAAATCTTAAATAGAATAACTTTTGAAAAATTGATTGAAAATATCAGAGAAGATAAACAAGTCATGATATTTGTTACCTCCAGAAAAGAAACATTAAAAACTTCAAGGATTTTAATTGAAATGATAAGATCTGAATCCTATTCAAACTATTTCAATCCCGAGATTTTTGATCCTCAAACATATAACAGATTTGAGAAAGAGATTACCAACAAGAATAAAAACAATGATTTAAAAGAAATATTTTTAAGCGGTTTTGGAACACATCATGCTGGGATGTTAAGATCCGATCGAAACTTAGTTGAAAAATTATTTCTTAATGGCTTTTTAAAAGTTTTGGTTTGTACTGCTACTCTTGCTTGGGGTGTTAACTTACCTGCTTCTGTAGTTATTATTAAAGGAACTCAGGTTTACGATTCCAAGAATGGTGGGTACATGGATATGGGTATTTCTGATGTTATTCAAATTTTTGGTAGGGCTGGTAGGCCTCAGTTTGAAAAATATGGTTCTGGTATACTATTAACTTCAAATGACAAATTGGATCATTATATTAATTTATTGACTCAACAACATCCAATTGAAAGTAAATTAGGTAATAAATTAGTTGATAACTTGAATGCTGAAATATCATTAGGAACAGTAACAAACATCAATGAAGGTATACAATGGTTAGGTTATACTTATCTTTTTGTAAGAATGAAAAAAAACCCTCTTGGATATGGAATCGATTGGAAAGAAATTCACAATGATCCTCAATTGATTAATAAAAGAAGAGAAATGATTATTCAAACGGCAAGAAGATTGCATTCTTTACAAATGATTGTTTTTGATGAAAAATCAGGATCTTTCATTTCAAAAGATTTGGGGAGAGTTGCATCTGACTTTTATCTTTTAAATGACTCAATTGAGATCTTCAACCAAATGTTAAATCCAAATGCCACTGAGGCAGATGTGTTGTCTATGATCACTATGAGTAGTGAGTTTGACAATATTAAATTTAGAGAAGAGGAAGCCAATGAATTAACAAAGTTACTCGAAAAGGACGTTTATTGCCAGATTGCTAGTACTCCAGATTCTTCACAATCAAAAACTAATATTTTGTTACAAGCATTTATTTCCAAGGCTAGTATTCAAGATTCGGCACTAATTTCCGACTGCAATTATGTTTCTCAAAACTCAATAAGAATCTGCAGAGCCTTGTTCCAGATAGGTATAAACAGATTTTGGGGAGTATTTTCTAGAGTCATGCTTTCAATATGTAAAAGTATTGACAAACGAATTTGGTATTGGGATCATCCATTATCTCAATTTGAGTTGCCTCAGAATATCTTGAAAAACATTCGAGCTAAGAATGCTTCAATTGATACTTTGAGAGATATGACACACCAGGAACTAGGAGATTTAGTTCATAATACTCGTTTTGGAAAACGAATTTTTTTTCTTTTAAATAGATTTCCTGTCTTGCATATTGATGGGGAAATTTTTCCAATCACAGCCAATGTTATGCGAGTTCATTTAAATATTGAATGCGATTTCATTTGGGATGACAAATTCCATTCCAAGATTGAATGTTTTCATTTGACAGTTGAAGAAAGTGATAATATTTCCAATATATTGTATTATCAGAAGCTAATAATTTCAAGAAAGAATTTTAAAAATATTCAAGAGCTAGATTTCATGATTCCTTTAGCCGATCCATTACCTCCACAAATAATAGTTAGAGCTGTTTCTGATACTTGGATTGGATCTGAATCAGTTCACAGTATTTCATTTCAACATTTGATTAGACCTCACAATGAAACATTGACAACTAAGTTGCTAAGATTACAACCATTGCCAATATCTGCATTACATAACAGCAAATATGAGTCAATTTATGATTCTAAATTTAATTTTTTCAATCCAATGCAAACAATGGTTTTTCATACTTTATATCACAGTAATTCCAGTGTATTCGTCGGTTCACCAACTGGATCAGGTAAGACTGTTGTTGCCGAATTGTCAATTTGGCATGCTTTTAATAAATATCCTGATTCTAAAATTGTTTATATTGCACCCATGAAAGCATTAGTGAGAGAAAGAGTAGATGATTGGCGAGCTCGGATTACTCCCAAAACTGGATATAAATTGGTTGAGTTGACTGGTGACTCAACTCCTGATGTTAATGAAGTTAGAGAAGCTAAGATAATTGTTACCACCCCTGAAAAATTTGATGGAATTTCACGTAACTGGCAAACCCGTAAGTTTGTTCAGCAAATTTCATTGGTTATTATGGATGAAATTCATTTGTTGGCCAGTGATAGAGGTCCAATTTTAGAGATGATTGTCAGTAGAATGAACTACATCAGTTCAAAAACTAAGATGCCGATTAGATTGTTAGGAATGTCTACAGCTGTGTCAAATGCGATGGATATGGCTAGTTGGCTAGGGATTAAAGAAGGATTATTTAACTTTCCACAGTCTGTCAGACCGGTTCCTTTGCAGATGTACATTGATGGGTTTCCTGACAACTTGGCATTTTGCCCATTAATGAAAACTATGAATAAACCAGCATTTATGGCAATCAAACAACATTCTCCAAATAAACCTGTTTTGATTTTTGTTGCTTCTCGTCGTCAAACTAGACTAACGGCTTTAGATTTAATCCATCTATGTGGTTTGGAATCTAACCCAAGAAGGTTTTTAAAAGTTTCTGAGGATGAAATAGAAGAAATTATCAAAAGAGTTAAAGATGATACATTAAAATTATCGTTACAATTTGGAATAGGATTGCATCATGCCGGTTTAGTTGATTCTGATAGAAGAATCAGTCATGGATTGTTCCAATCCAATAAAATACAAATTCTAGTTGCAACATCCACATTAGCTTGGGGAGTTAATTTGCCAGCACATTTAGTAATTATTAAGGGTACTCAGTTTTTTGATGCCAAAATTGAAGCATACAGAGATATGGACTTAACAGATGTTTTGCAAATGATGGGAAGAGCAGGGCGTCCTGGTTATGATACAAATGGTATTGCGATTGTTTATACGAAGGAAAACAAAAAATTGTTTTATAAACATTTTCTTAATATAGGATTTCCAGTTGAATCATCTTTACACAAGGTTTTAGATGACCATATTGGAGCAGAAATATCTTCGGGAACAATCAAAACTAGAGAAGATGCAATTGAGTTTTTATCATGGACATTTTTGTATCGAAGAGCACATCATAATCCAACCTATTATGGAATCGAAGACGTCTCTGTTTCAGGAATTAGTTCATATCTTGGCAATTTGATTGATTTGACCATAAATAATTTAAGAGAATCAAATTGTATTAAATTGGTGGGAGATAAAACAAATAAAAACCAAATGATTGAAAGCACTCCATTTTTAGATATCTCATCATATTACTATTTATCACATAAAACAATTCGAAATTTTTTAAATAAAGTCACTCGAAATTCAAATTTTGAGCAAAATTTAATACTACTAAGTGAAGCAGTTGAATATAATGAATTGCCTACCAGACATGGCGAAGAGTTAATTAATCATGAGATGTCGCTACAAATGAGATATTCAATCAACGATATTAAATATAAACAGTTTGAGGATTTTAAAAAGTTGCCCATATGGGATCCGCATATCAAAACCTTTTTGTTGCTTCAGGCTTATTTTACTAGAATTGAGTTACCCATTGCTGATTATTCCCAGGACACAGTTACGGTTTTGGATCAAGCATTGCGTATTATTCAGGCCTATATAGATATCTCTTCAGAATTGGGTTATTTAAGTACAGTTTTGAAATTAATTGAACTAATGCAAAGCATCAAGCAAGGAAGTTGGTTTGATGATAATGAAATAGGAATATTGCCTGGAATGGAGAAGTTATTAAATGGTTTAGAATCCGGGGAAAATAAAGATATAAAGAAAATGACAATTAAAAAAATAGGAAACATGAGCAAAGAAGATTTGGAAAACTATCTAATTAACGAAATTTATTTTGAATTTAAAAACAAAGAAGAAATGGATGATTTTTTCAATATTGCATTAAGTTTACCGACTGGAAATCTAAAAGTTCTTCCCCAAATAAAAAACGGATTTTTGGAAGTAGAAATTGATCAAAAAAAAATTTTGAAAAATATGAAAAATAACAAAAAAAAGTCTGAACTATTTCAAAGTTATTGTTCAAAATTTCCTAAATTTCAAAAAGAATCATGGTTTTTTATTATTTGCGATTTTGAAATTGATGAACTATATTTGATAAAGAGATGTCAACCACAAAAATACAAAACAGGTAATAGAGTGTTTTGTAAGTTTGAGATTCCAAAAGAAATTTTTGATAACGAATTAGATATTATTTGTGTTAATGATGGATTAAAAATTGAATATAGAACAAAGCATTTGTTTATTAATTGATGTATATATAATTAAAAATCTATTAATTTTTGTGAACTTGATTGTGAAATTCATTTTTTTATTCAAAAAAATCATCTTCTTCATCATTATCATTGTTTTTATTCTTGTTAATAGTAATATAATTATTATCAGCATGATTAATTTTGGGGACTTTAGTGTAATTAGAACTTTGATTATTACTTTTAAATACTATTTTATCAGCTTCATCGACATTTGCAATTACTTGTGCTTTAATTGAATCAATATGGTGATTTATTTTAATAGATTTTTTATTATTTATTATATCTTCAAAATTAAAATCATGATTATTCGTAAGGATCAAACTTTTCATTTTAGCTCTAAACTCGTCTTTGAATTTATTGGATTTTTGAATTCCTTTTAATGTTTTTTCATCGACTTTTTCGGTATTGTTATCTTTGGAGGTATTAGGATATAAGGCAATGTATTTCTTGTCTTTGGGGAAATTTATTATATAAAGTAAATCAACTTTGGAATTGAGCAACTGGTTTTCAATTTGGTTAATTTGATTGTCGTCTATATTTATTTTTTTTAAATCAATCAATTGTTGATTTGATTTTTTTAATACCCTAATGGTCTTTTTTTTTTCAAAAAATTTCACCATATGATATTTTTTTAACAAGTGTTTTTGTTTTAAATTAAGATTTTGATTTTGTAATTTTATTTTCAAAGCGTTTAATATTCTTTCATTTTCGGCCAATTGAGTTGAATTATGTTTATCATTTTGCTTTTGATTTTTCAAGTACCTTTCAAGGTCACGAATTTTTTTCTTTAGCTTTGTCGTTGAATTCGATGATAACGCAGACTCTAGAGCTCTAGAATTTGATTTATATTGTGATTTGGAAAAGTGTTTTTTTTGAATTTGTTTAGTTATTGGCATTGTTGATTATAAGTAAAAGTTAGAAGCAGAACAAAAATATAATGAAAATTAATCTCAGATCAAACTAGGTTTTTATGATTTTTTTTCCAAGCACGTGAATTGAAATGTTGTTTGAAATCCATAAATTTATAACCGAAGTGTCACTGGATTTTCTAATTTTGATAACGTTTGAACTTTAGGCTTCACACTCGATATAATGGATTGTTGTGGTCATTTTGACAATATATATAAAGCAAAAATATAGTCTTTAAGAGAATCAAAATAAAAGCTTATAAGGTGTTTAAAAATATTAAGGTGAAACCTCACCAACGAGAGTCCGTGATAGTTTAGTGGCTAGAATTACCGCTTGTCGCGTGGTAGACCGGGGTTCAATTCCCCGTCGCGGAGTTTATTTTTCTATTTTTTCCTTTTTTTGATATTTTTATTTCAGTGAGGTTGTATGAGAAAATGCCTACTCTGTATATCTATTGATTGATGAGCATTATTATTGTATTTCTAGCATATCTAGTATGAACCAGCCCAACTTATGAAACGAACTCTCAGGATCAGAGCTAGGCACGTGAAAGAACTATTCTTATGGTTTTTTAGAACGTCGTTAATGCTAACACAACTTTTCTTTTTCTGCATAATAACATTAAGGTATATGCAGGTCTTAAAACATAACTTGTTTTTCTTCAGTTGTGAATCCCGTTATCACAGGTTTAAGATTTCAACGTTGAGTATAAATCTTTTTTGGGATCAGTTTTTTATTGCAGAATATCAACTTTCAAGTTTGTTTTAATTTCCCAATATCTTTTGACAGTTAGCTTGCTTTCCTCTTTGAGCAACAACTCAAATTTCCAGTTGAGTCAAACAAAATATATATATAGTCTGATTGTACTTATTCAATATCTTATTTAACACAATTACATTTTGTTTACTTCTCCAACAATCATTGTATTTTTTCTGATAGATCAAAATTTTGTAAGAATTGAGTAACTAATACAAGCTTGAATCTGTGCCCATTTCAATATAGTATCTTATACCATTAAATATTTCAACTTTACCCCAATCAATTTTTTAATTACGCTAGCTTTTTAAACTAAAAAAGATACTGCCCACAATGCCAAAACTAAGAGAGCACAACCCCAAATAATCTTACCATGATAATTATATAGAAACTTATAAAGATTTCTTTTCAAACTCAAGTCCTGAAAATATATATCTAAAAGAAAATTAGATGAAGACAAGAATAATAATTTTTTTTAATTGAGATCTTATACTTTATAATTTTAACATAATCTTTTAAACTATATTTATATTTTAAATTGACATTGATCTCTTCAAATTATTTTATATTTGATGGCAAAATACAACATTAAATCAATTTCTCTTTATATTGAGGTATACCTTGATTTATTTATAAAAGTTAAAGCCAAAAAAATTTGAAAAAGACAGCTCACCTAGGTAAAATGTTTTTAATACAAAATATCATGATATCAAAAAGAACAAAAGACATAGCTTTTTTTAAAAATATAAAACACATTTTCCATATGCTGAGCCACCAACAATCCAATTCTCCAAAGGGTGAAATTGAACAACTGCTGGTATAGATTTTACATTATCTTCTGGCCCACCTAAATGACCAATTTGAATACCATCAGAGGTATAAACATCAATATATTTTTTCATATTACCAATTAAAAATTTTTCAATATTATCTTTAGGCAATTTTTGCCATTTTGATTTCAAAATACTGACCCATTTTCCTGTTTTACAATTATGTTGAATTGTACGATCAGGTTTGAATTCAATTAAATTTTGATCAAAATTTAATTTTCTGTTCACATTATTGAATATTCGAATGGTATTATCGTAACCATTACAAACAATATCACCAGAAGAATTCCAATCAGATGAACTTATGCTTAATTTAGAATTATAATAGCCATAACAATCAAAAGATTTTTCATTTAAAAATTTTTCTGTAAACTGATTTTGTTTATTAATTTTTCTAATATCCCAAATTTTCATTGATCTATCCAATGAAGCTGTTGAAATCTGAAACTCGTTTTGTGGTGAAATAGAAAAGGAACCAATTTTTTTATCATGTATTCTAAATAAATCATTATAGTTTTGAATATTTTTATTTTTGATTCGTAAATCTAATAAACCAAATTGACCTAATAAAGTTGTAAAATAAATTAAATTTGGATCCATTAAACTTATAAAATTAAAATCAGAAATTCCAGTTGAATCGGTTAAATCTAATAAGTTAGAACTAATTGATTTTTCAAAATTAGTTAACCGAATTGAACCATCATAGCTTGATGTTATTAAGTTTTGATTATTTTGAGGTTGAATTTCAAGTTTTATTATATGTTTTGTGTGAATCTTTAAATTGTTAATTTGCAAATTCAGATCATCATTTAAATGATCATTAACATTCCAAATTCCCAAGTCACCTTCAGTATCACCTGCAAATATTAATTTTTTATCCACAGTAGGATGGAAATTAATATAAGTGATTCTAGTCGTAGTTAAATTAATATCATTGGGTAAAGCATGGGGATAAATGTTTAAATTATTGAAAAAACTTCTTAATTCTTTAACATTTGTATTATTAGAAGATAATTTAAAATCTGAAGTAATGTCATAGAAATCACCAGTAGATAGTGATTTTCCTATTTCGTTAAAGATATTTACCAATTCTATTTCATCTTGTATTAAATTTTTATTGTCATTTTTATTGGTATTTTTATTGGTATTTTTTGCAGTCTTGTTTTGGTATTTTTTTAAAACATCAACTAATTTAACATCTCCAGCTAGCTTTTGTTTTTCTAATTCTTTTAATTTTTTTTTATAATCATCTAGGTTATTAGTATTGGAATTTTTATTTTGAAAATCATTTGAGCCAACAGATATTGTATTATCAGAATTTAAATAAACAGGGTCGATTTTAATACCTCTCAAACGCTTTGATTTTCTTATTGGTTGTTTGGTTACTCTATTATTTATAATATTTTTTGATGAAGTATTTTTTTTTTGATCTTGATTTGTTTTTAGATGATTATAGATATTTTTTGAAACTTTATCAAGGTTTAATTTTTTTAATATTAATTGGTTTTTGATGATATTTTGTTGCCTGATTTTTTCAAGATTAGATAAAACCATTTTAAAAAGCACACTAAATACAATGCAGAGTATGAGATGTGCTGAATATATAAAAAAGTAATGCAATATTTAATAAAAAATATTAGTGAAATATGAAACTTCAGAAGGAAAAAGAAATTGTTAGTAATAAAATAACACGAAAAGGATTGAAAGGGGTTGGAAAAAGAAAATTAGTCAAGAGACGCGAAAATGTCGGGTTTATTTCTGAAATACTGCCAGAAATAAGAAAATCAATCTTTAACAATGTAAACTACCCATCATTAAATTATTGGATATTGAAATAAATTACCATCTGGCTCTTTCTAGAAGACAGATTTTGTCTCAAATGAAAATTTCTGGTTATTTCTTTCAATCTATTCAGCTGGATATTGAAGTCATTCTGGGCTAAGGTTTTGGCAAAAAGCCTGTCCATTCGGGATACACATCAGAACAATCCAGTTAGCAAAAACATCCCGATAGAACAGTAGTAATATACAAACGTGGAAGCCAGAATTATCAAACGTGAATCATGTGTCATTAATTTGGAAGTGTATTATTCTGCAACGGTCTCCGTGATGCGCATTCTGAAAGCTCGACAAAATACAAAACGGCTTTTGATACTGGCAATTCTAGATTGTGAGAATTATATTACGTTGTTATGCAGTGCTCAACAGTGTCTATCTGCGTGCCAAGAGAGAGGTGCGTTTTTATGTTTAATTTTTATTTTCTTGCATTTGGTTTGGTTGCAGCGGTGTTTGTTTTGTGTTTGTTCATCCTCTTGATTAATATTTGGTTTCTTTAGTTCTTACTCTTTGATTTTTATCTTTTAATCTTACTTCTTCTTTAAGACATATGATTTTTTTATCGAAATATATGGCATTCCTTTGATTGAAGTTTTACATTTGTTTTTTACCAATCAAACAATAACAACTGAGATTATGGGGGTTTCTTATCTAGTTTTGGTTTCAATTTTTAGAGTTTTAAGTCATTCAATATATATAGTTCTTAATTCTATTTTAGTTTTTCATTGACATTTTTTTTATTTATATTTAAAATATGGTTGTTTCTTTAAAATCATTTTCTTGTTTTTCTTTTTTCTTTTTTATTTTCAACTTAATCAAAGATACATTTAATATCAAGTTTATCATAAATTTCAATATCAATAGTTGACTTGATTAGCACAAGATTTTTATCTTCATTTAAATTAAATCAAAAGTAAAACCAGCTTGCAATTCTATTTTTACCAAACATATCGTCAACACAAGAATAACATAGCATTGTCATAATTATAAAAATTAATTTCAAATTATCTATAATTTTGATTATATTGTCAGAAAAGGTCTCTTTCTACTTTTTGAAAATAATTTTTCAAACAAAAATGAGAAATAAAATAAAACTCAACTAAAATTTTTTGAACCTTCTTTAAATTTAAATTATATAAATACATCATGGTGTTTTAGTTGTAAAAAAAATAAAAATAAAAATAAAAATACGGTTCTTTGAAAACTATTCAAAATGGACTTTTGTATTGAACCATAATTTGATGATCATTGGAATATTGTACTAGTTTATTTAAAAACCTCTTATTTTTATAATTGGAATGGTGCCAATGTTGAAAAAATTATTTTTTCTTTTCAAAATTATAAATCAAATCATATGTATTTTTATGAAAAACTTGATCCAAATCTATTTTGTGATTATGATAATTATATTTGTTTTTTTAAAAAAATTCAAGAAAATTGAGGTATCAATTTAATTAAAGATTTAATTGAACAAAATTGTCTTGTTGAAAACCATCGTATGCTTCAAATATTAGAAATTTATCACAAAATATTTTAGTTAAATGCTTGTTAAAATGCATATTTAAAATCTTATCAAGTTGGTTTTTTTCTCAATAAACGTTTTGTCATTATCATATAATCTTCCAATAAATATTTGTTGTTAACAAGCTGTTTAACTAAACTTGTAGTTCTTTAGAAAATCTCAATTTTAGTGTTAAGATTTCTTTTTAACTTAGCTACTGCATACAAAAGATAAAAATTTAACCAACAAAATTATCAAAAAAATTACTTCAAGCAGTAATTTTCGGTTGGAAATTTTGATTTGTGATTTGCACTAAAATAATGTTCTAAATAAAAACAAAAAGTGAGTAATAAAATATTATTTTCATAAAATTATATATCAACTAACTAACAACCATATTTTTGGCAAAAATCGTTGCAAAAATCATTGCAAAATTCGTCGCAGAACTTTTGAGAAAAGTCTTGAACAGAATCCTTTGAAAGATTGTTGTAACTGCTACAAAACTTTTCACAAAACTCTTTGCAGAAGTTATCGCAAAACTCTTGGAATTTTTCATTTGATGAATTGTTGCAACATTTTTCAAAGCATTTTTGACAACATTCAGCACACAATTTTTTGCAAACTTCAGCACATTTTTCTTTCTCGCCAGCTGAGCTATCATCGCAAATCAGTTCACAGCAGTTTTTGCAGCAATCAACAACATTAGAGAGAACCTCTGGCTTAGCCTTACCACAGGAAGAGCCCTCCAATGAATTACCAGGACCAGAACTAGAGCAAACACAAGAACAAGACATATCTAATCAACACCAGATTTAATTTCGTAAGCAAGGTATCCTATAAAGATCTTAGAGATAATAGTGAAAATAGAATCGAAAAGCCAGAATTAGTGGAGGAAACCTGGATGTATTTATATTGTTTGCAACACATAGTGCACCATATGTTAGTTTGATTTGAATTAGTAATACAGCAAAAACATCGCTTGATGTATGGGTCTATTCAATCCAGCCAATAAACACGCTGGGCAGAGGCATGGCAGTCGTGCTGGCTTTTTTCGGACACAAGGCAGGAATGCTCCCGCTTGAAGAGTGGTTTTTGCAGCAGTTCAAGCCTCGGTTTGTCAAAACGTCCCAGTCCCACCGGTTGCAGAGCCAGAGCACGACTGTGTACAAACAGCGAAAACAGGGCTCTAGTGCAGAGCCCTGCCCCTAACCGGCTGCTGCGTGTGGTGAACGTTTTTCCTCCTCTGTTGCTTCCCTCCAGAACTGTTCAATCCACAGATCAAAACAACCAAAGCACACCTCTAATGGCTTCAGATGACAAGTTTTCAAGACACCAATCAACCAGATGGAAGAGAAAATCATTTGATAGTTCTGATGAATGGGGTCTATCATCTGAAGAAGAATTTGACGATTCTGCTGATGAAAATGAGGTTCTCCATAAACAAGCTCAACATCAATCTATTCATATAAAACCACAGGCTGTCCTTGATCCAAAAGATCCAGAAAACCTTACACGACCTTCCAAAAACTCATCAAATAACAAACCTTCTTCCAATGACTTTAAAAACACTGACAATGCTATTAACAACAACCAAACAAGTTTCCTTCCTTTTGTATTTGAAAATAAGCTAAATGAACTGAAGAGAACACCTGAAAAAACCAATCAACTTGAATCTGCAGAAAAGGAGGATTTAACTTATGATCACAATCTCTATAATGATAATTCTATTATCAGTGATGACAGTATAAAAAGTGATTATTCTTATTCTCATGGAGATGAAAGTATTAATAGTCCTTTCAAAATAAATACTTATTCCAAAAACAACAACAACAACAACAACAACAATAATAATAATAATAATAATAATAATAATAATAATGATCTATCGACAAGAGAAACCACTAATAATTTGGGTTCCGATGTAGATTTGATCAATTCACTAACTAAGACATTATCTCAAAAAGGTTATATCTATTCTTCATCTGAAGAAAGAATAGAAGAATCTTCTATCCATAAAATTGAAACAAATGGCTTATTTGGATCAAAAGTACAATCAAAAGATGAGTTGAAAAATGAATTGAAAGATGAATTGAAAGATGACTCAAAAAGTGATTCAAAATTCATTATAAACTCAATTTCTATTCGCAATGCTCCAAAAAATATTGATAATCGTGCTTTAGTTTCCTCAAATGATTCTAGTTTAGATGAAAATTCACTATTAGATAATTACATCAATAACATGTTACGCTCCAATAAAATCAGCAAAATTGATGAGGATAAAACTGACGAAAATAAAAATCAGATTGCTCGAACTTTGAGCAATATCACAAACAAAGAAAGTAATTTAACTAACGATGATTTTATTCTTCCATTATCGCCAAGATCCAAAAATAGTTCTTTTAATTCTGTTGCAGAAAATCAACCAAAAGATCAATCAAAGGGTCAACCAGACAATCAATCAAAAGATCAGCTAAAAGATCAGCCAAAAGATTTTTTTGATCTTCCTTCCTCACTTGCTATAACGCCCAAAGCTTTTTTACCTGAGAATCAAAATATCCAACTGAATTCAAAGATTGATAACATTGAAATTAAAAAAGAAAATGATTATAATAATAAAGATTTTAATAATCTACCCTCTCAATCATCTAAATCGAATATTTTAACAGAAACTGATTATAAAATTTTCAACGATAAAGAAGCTATTAAATATGATAATCACACTAATGCTACTGATATTAATAATAATGCTACGGATACTAATATTACTGCTCCTACTACTACTCCTACTACTCCTACTACTACTACTACTAATAATAATAATAATAATAATAATAATAATAATAAGTTTCGAAATTTAAGTGATGTGAGTGATGACGAATTAACTGGAACTCTAAATGATTCGATTAACAGTTCGCTTGATAACTCAATTAATTTATTTAATCCTGGCATTTCAAATCCTTCATCAAATAAGTTGAATTTAATTCCTTCAAGAACTCTAAGTTCAGAAGCAGCTCAAAAACAAAATGATAGGTTTTCAAGTATATTAGGTCAAAATCAAATTGACAATCTAAATGATCCTTACAAATTTGATCAAGAAAATTTTAGAAATAATATTTCCATTGATAATTTTGATAAAAGTTCCAATACCTTAAAAAATATTGATAGTGATTTGAAAAATAAAGATAAAGAAAAGAGAAATTTAAATAATGGTCAAAATAATGTTATGGATGTTATAAATGAAGATAATGGATACTCTATTGACGATTATTTTGGTTTAAATAATAACAGTGATAGTGAAAGTTCAGATTCCATTGATCTAAAGTCTTTTACGGGAATTTGGAAGCCAATTGAAACTACTAATGACAAAACGGATCAAGAAAGAATCGAAAATAAAATTAATAACAATGAATTTATTAATAAAGATGTTCTTAATAAAGATAATAGTGATGAAAGTATTGAAATAAAGAAAAATTTTAATTCAATGGAAACGAAAAATATAGATAGCACAGAGACCAGAGTTTTGCCAAAAGAAACTTATGAAATTAACAGCTTGACTTCAAAATCTAGTATTAACAAACGCTCTTTGAAAAATGTAAATGAAGATGATTCATTTAAATATTTTAGTGATCTTGATAGTGATATTGACTTAACTCAACTTGAAATTATCAATGATAAAATTAAAACTGATAACTCGAAAACCAATCGTGAGCTTGACAATATTGAAACTGAGGTTCATTCACAATCTTCTTTATATGAATTTTCCAAACATGTTAACAAGGTGTTGAGCCTTGATAACTCAGATTTTTCCAATAGTGATGCTAATATTTCAGGGAAATCTTACATGGAAAATGATAATTTAAGTGTAAAAAATGATTTACCTTTTGCTTCAACAATAATTCCTAACCAAAATCAAGTTAACCTTGAAGAGAAAGAGAAAGAAATAAAGGAAAAAAATAATCATGCTATCGACAATGAAAAACCTCTACCCTCTGTCCTGTCATTGCCCACAATTTCATCATTATATTCTGCTCAGCCTGTAATAACAGGAGTGCCCAGTTTTCAACCCAAAAAACTTCCAACACATAACTTTAAAGAAATATTATCTATCAAAGATCCAAAGGTGAGAATTTCAAGGCTAAAAGAAGCAAATAAATTAGAGTTTACTTATGATTCGGGATTGACAAATTGGGTTGAATTTATAAAAACTCCAGAACCGATAACAGTAATTAATTATAGCAAAGAAACTGCAAAAATTGTTGAAAAAATCAAAAAGGATTCAATCAAACCGCCCGTTAAAAGAAATAATAGTTTTAAACCAAATTTATCAGGCGCTGCATCGCATATTCGAACATCGAGTATTTTACCTAGTTTTCCTAATGTTGTAAGTGAAAACCTTCAAAGGCCTGGTCATAATATTAAAGAAAAAATAGGACATGTCCATGATAAAGTTTCTGAAACTAAAGCTACCAAAAATGCTAAGAAATTTACAATGGGATTATTTCATAGAGGTAAGAAATTTATTAGTGGGTCGAAAAATTGATGTTTTTGTTTTCAAAGCTCTTAATTTATTAGTTTTCAAGTTTGAGTTTCCAGCTTGGAGTTTTTAATATCTGGTTTTATAACAGTTTATATTTTACATTTTACATTTTATATTTTATATTTTATATTTCATTTTTTTGGTTTTGATTTCTTTTGATAATGGAACATTACAAGTTATGTAAGAGAAGTTATTTTTTGTGTATTAGCCAGTATAGAAATTGATTGGTTAAGTTTCAATTAATGTATATGTCAAAGTCCACATCATAATAAAGGAAGTTATTGATTTTGAGAAATCAACAACAAATAAATCATTAAAAAAGCTAGTAAAATAGTCAGTAAACAGATTACTATTTTGATGGTTCTTCACAATCCAAGTTTTAACGGACAAATAAATAAATAAATTTATCAAAGAATAAAACAAACAAAAAAATAAAAACCCCAAAAGCGATTCTAATTTTAAAATTCCTGATGTTACACCAATCACCAAAGAAGTTAAATCATGGATCCAAGTAACCTTTGTAGAATTATATCTAATATTTGGGCCATAACTGATATTAGATTGCTTCAATTTGCTGTTGGAGTCCTTTGCAGAGCTGCCCATCAAATTTGGTAGACTCTTGTTAAGCTGCAGATAAGAAATAGATGACATTGGTGTTCTTGAATGCCAATCGATAACTCTTTGATCACAACCAAGAATTAAGCCGTTTTCCTTCGCTGGAGCGCAAATCTGAAAAGGCGCTTCGAGCCCTACTCAGGGCTTTAAAAACGAGGGCGCTTCCGGGATTTACGGGTGTCCGTATTTTCCAAAGAATCACCGAAATACTTCCGATAGCTGCCGTTCAAACACAATCAGGAAATAATCAAGTTAGAAATATAAAACTCGAAGTACATAAAGTCAAAAAGGAATGTTTAAAACAAGATAAATGATATATAGATAGTATACAAAAAATTCAAAAGACTAGAAAACAGTTGTTTATTTTAAAGAAATAAAAAAATTTTAAAAAATAATTATAGAGAAAAAAGCAGCAAGACAAAAGAGAAAAAAAAGAGAATATTACTAATGTTATATCAAACTGGGGACATTGTTATTATACACAGCTGTTTGTTGAAATTGTTGCGAGTGCAAGGGTTGTTGCTGCATTTCAAGGGGTTGGAAACTCATGAGATTGTTATTCAGCATTGTATTACCAATACTTGCAACTTGTGGTTGTATTTGTATTTGTGTTTGCTGTTGTTGTTGTTGCTGCTGTTGCATATACTGAATCATATTTCCTGTCCTCTGAGTTTTAATATAATCAATTTGTGCTTGCTGTCTAGTTTGATCAAAAACAGGTACTGTATTTAAATTCTCCAATCCCCCAAATGTAAACTGTGGAGTTAGCTTAATATTATTATTGAAAAAATTGGTACTAGATTGGGCCCCAGTGTTAATATCATCAAAAGGAGTTGAGATACCACTTAAGCTTGAAATACCATTATTAGAATTTAAATCATTATTAGGTTTCTCGCCGTTAAAAGAACTGAATGGATTAGTTCCTGTGATTTGAGAAATCAAAACTTTGTTGCTATTATTTTCAATTGGTTTATATTTGTCACTATCACTACTATTGCTAAAAGAAGCAAAGGGATTAGTTTTTGATCGTTTTACAGTGTTATTAGTAGGTTGCAGATTGCTATTTTCAATGCTGTCTAATGAGAAAGGATTCCCGGTTTTATGCTTGGGTAAACCATCTTGATTAATAGTTTTATCCAAATTCAGTTCGCTACTTTTTGCTGTCAAAACACTGCCAGTTAAATTTGATAAAGACTGTTGATTAGCAAATTGATTGTTTATTGAGTTTTGCATTTGTTGCATTTGTTGCATTTGTAATGACGCTGGATTTGAAAAAGGGGCTTGAGAAATTTGGTTTAAGCTTTGAGATGGGTTTATCCCTGGAAGTGGAGTTGAATTTATAAAAGGATTACCAGTTTGAATTGGCAAAATAGGTAATTGTTGAAATTGTTGTATTGGAAATTGAACGGGAACCAATATCTGCAGGTTTTGATTTAAGTTATGATTTTGACCTTGCAAAGCTAAAGCCCAAGGATTATAACCTGTTTGTTGAACTATTAATTCATTGGTATCATTCTCATTGGTAGATTTAATTTTATCATTAACGTTAACATCTTTAGAGACGGAATTTGAATTTAATTTTGAAGAGTCTTTTTTTATCCATGTTTTTTCATTTTTTTTAGAATTAGTTTGATTATTGTAATTATCATTATTTTTGTTTTTATCTCTTTGCTTATTTTCCTTTTCCAACAAGTATTGTCTTCTATTAATTTCAAAATCTTTATCATTTAAATAGTCTTCTAGGGAATTTGCTAGTGCAGTTGGTGCATGTCTAATAGTAGGTACGTGTAGTTTAGTTAGGTTTTCTAGATGTTTAGCAATTCTTAAATAAGACACTACATCATTTGTTTGATTTACAAAAATTTTGTAAATTTTCAAAGCTCTTTTAGCATTATTAAAATTCATTTCAAAATAATGTTCCAATAGATTGATAACCCCTTCGTTTAATGATTGATATAAAGATAATAAGTCGTTGACTAATAATTTGAAAGAAGTCAATAATATTTCATTTGAAGATATTTCAAACTCTTTGAAAGTGCACTTTAATAAAGAATCAATTTGTTTTTCAACGCTTTCAACTTCACTTAATATGCCCTTTTCAATTGATAAATTTCTTAACCTACCACCTACATTGGGATTATTATGTAAAGTGTTGTTATTTAGTCGCTCATCCCGAACATAATCTATTCTTGTTAGCTGGAATTGTTTTGACCTTGTTATTAAATAGTTTGAATATTTTCTCAAATTTTTAACATTATAATCATTATTACCAGTGATATATTGATTGTTATACTCATTAATTTGATAAACTTTAAATATTTTGATATTTTTGCTCAAGAAGTTTAAAGTTTTATTTAATTCACCTTCTCGAATCATTATATGTAATACAATCAAGCTTTTAAAGACGATTGGCCAGGAAGAATCCTGCAATCTGATAGATAAAATCCTTAAAACAGTTCTGAAATCCTCATTATTAGAAGTTGATAGTAAAATTGGCTCGATGTACTTTGGTTTCGGAGCAGCAATTTTGATTTTTGTTGCTCCCTTGACGATTTTTTCGTAGGTGGTCATTTTAAGATAAAAGCTGAGCAAAGACAACAGAGGCTATTGAAGAAACAAAAAATGTGTGAGAAGGGTGTGTTGGTTTAAAACGATAAAATAGTAAGAAATAGAAAGAAAGATGTAGCAGGAGGATTTGGAAAGATGATTTGCTTACGCATTCGATGGCTGATGGAGGAAAAGGGGTTGGAAACACGCCGGAGCGGATCCGGAGCGGATCCGGCAGGCCTCTCCAGCCAGCCACTGCCCGGGCTTAACTACCACGCAACACAGGCAGCACAGGCAGCAGAAGAACGGGCAGCAGAAGAACAGACAACAGAAGAACAGGCATAGTGTGTATTCAATATGTATGGTATGGAACATGCAGAGTGCAGCATGCGCAGCAAAAGGGTGCCTCTACAAAGTTGTTCTCGACGTTGAGGCTCATTTGATGCAAAGTTTCCCATTTTTTTTCGCAATGTGGTTCTTCATGAAGTCAGTGAGTATTTCTCTGTTCTTCGTCTCGTTTTCACCGTTAAGATATGGCTTGAGTCTTTTGGCAAACTCCAGCACTGTTGGATTGTCCTTGACAAATCTGATGATAAAGTCTTTGTCTATTTGCCCGTTAAAATCAGCATCTGGCGAAGGAGAAACTGAGGGTGTGTGTGAATTGTTCTCTCCTTTGATTTTTTTAACCCCAGTACTGCTTTGACGTGCTTGGTCTTTTCCCATGGTGTTTTTATCAAGCATCATGCTGGAGGATCTTTTCTTGGATTTGTTACTTGGATTATTATCGTCATTTTTAGGCTGATAAACAACACTTGAGATTGGCCTTGATAAGTTCCATTCACCCTTCGGAAACTCCTTTAAAAGATTAATGGAATATGATGTGAATTTAACAGTAACTATACTATTTAATTTATTATAATTATTTAAATTAATTTTTTTGACATATAACCTTGGAATTAAATCTTCTTTATGGTTTTTCTTAGAAAAGCCGTTATCAAATTTATTGTTACTATTTTTATCAGTATTATTATTATTATTATTGTTATTGTTATTATTATTATTATCATCATCATTATTATTATTTTTGTTGTTATTATTATTGTTATCTTGAAACTCTTCGTCGTCTTCATCATCCTCATAATCAGATGAAGATAAATAAGGATTTTCTTCATCATCGCTCTCATAATTGATTCCCCCAATGCTTGTTTTCATTAAAGTTCTTCTAATTTTCTCACCATCCTTATTAAATTTCTTAAACCCCGTATTGACTTTGATTTCTCCAGTAATTAAATCAATTTCATTATTGATGGACTTGTTGTTGTTTCTATTAAGACCACTATTGTAATTACTATCATCCGAGTCATTATCTGCTAATCCTTGAAAGGTGTTGGCATTTCTCATTTCTCTTTCAATTCTTTTCCTTGCTTCTTTTTCTTCCTCATCATCACCTTCCATTATTGGCGCTTCCTCATCATCTGCAAACTCTTCCTCATAATCTAATTCATCATTATCATAATCTCTGTTTACCGATCTAAATCGATTTCCATAATCATCATCATCATCATCATCGTCAAATCTATCAGTCGTAATAACTGTTTTTAATTTACTTTTATTCGAAGCAAGTAATGATTCATTATTTGAAATCATATGATTTGAATTATTCGAGCTATTAATACCAGAATTGTTGTTATACATATTGTTATACAATATTCTTGTAGATACTCTTTTATTAATATTTAAGTTTTTAAAGTCTTCTTCATTTCTTAAATCATTTACTGTCCATTTTTGGTTAATCAATTCTTTGCTTTTCTTCAATTTTTCTAATTGTAGCTCAGCCTCTTCTAAAGTTAAAATAGGATATAAATTTTTTTGATTGAATTTATAAACTTTGGAAACTGGCAATATTTTAAAACCTGGCAAGTTTGGGTCACTATTATCAAGGAAAAATAAAAACAAGTTTTTCGAAATTGAGGAACCAGCTTCATAATTTCCCACAAAGGTATGTTTTCCATCATAATCTTCCATGACCCAGGGATAATACTCTTCATAATGCAACTTTCTTTGATCTTCTGGGAAAATTTTTACTTCTTTAAATTTTTTTTTGGCTCTTTTTTTAATAGCAGGATTAAATTCATTTACATTCTTAGAGTTAGTTTCATTCAATGTTTCATTTAATGTTTCATTGTTCATACTAATCCCATCACTACTTTGGTTTGTAAAATCTAACTTTTTATCAGAAATTTTATTTCTATGCTCACTTTCACTATGGTTGTTAACCAAATGATTATTTCTAATAATTTCATCCTTATTGTTATCAATTACATTATTATTATTATTATCATTATTATCATTATTATCATTATCATTATTATTCTTATCAATATCATTTAAATCTTTGTTGTTATTATCATTATCATCATTTGAGATTTTGTTATTATTTTTATTCATTTCATCAATTTCCTTTCTAGATAATTGAAATTGCAAATTATTAGGGTCTTTTCTATTCAATCTTATTGGCTTTAAAAAATCACTCATTGGATCAATTTTATTCTTTGAATTAAATTTCATTAAATTAAATTTTAAATCGTTGATTTCATTTTTATTAGCAAATTTCAAATTAAAATAATTGTAGTTCTTTTTACTATTGTCTTCAATTTTTATTTTACTCAAAGTATTGGTCACTTTTTTTGCATTATCGTTGACAATGATTGAATTGGCAGCTGGAATAACTTTTGAACTTTGTTCATTTTTGAATTTCGGCCTGGTTTTTATATGTGATCGATTGAAACTTTTATTTCTTAAAGATGAAGAAGATATCAAAAAACTCGGTAATTTCTTTTTGAGCATATGATGCGCTTGCTTTATACCATTGTGATTACCTTCATTAGCATTAAAACCATATGATGAGTTGATGTTATCTGATTTAACAGTATTACGGTTAACTGAAAGTTCACTTTTATTAATATGTTTGCTATTGTTATTATCAGTAGAAAAGTTATTAGAACTATTGAAGTTATTGTTCATGTTAAAACAAGTGAAAATAAGAAACAAATTACAACAATAAATATAAAGAATCCTTTTCAATCAAACAGGATCAAAATGTTGTATTTAATTTTGAATGGAATAAACAAACTAAAACAATTACTTCTTTTCTCAATTAAAAATGTAAAAAACATTCACGTGAATAATTATGAAACCCCAAAAAAGTGCGGTTTCTGTGGATCGAACACAGGACCTTCAGATCTTCAGTCTGACGCTCTCCCGACTGAGCTAAAACCGCCTAATGGCTTTATGATTATTTTCAGCAGTACCAGTACTGCTACTTTTACTGATTTTGCTTACAGTAATAATACACACAGTTTGAGATTAATTCCTCTTTTTAAACATACAATTTTATACGTTTCTGAAAATATGAATATGTGCTTTTTATCTTCGTTTTCTTTGGTTTTGCCCCTCTCGAAATAAACGTCCAGTGTTTTTCTTTACAGTTTGTAAAACAGAACATTTTTTAATATAACCATCTTTGAGTTTGTAGTCATATGATATCTTATATAATCACATCAATGCATGTTGCACGAGGTGTGGCCGGAAAACACAATCCGAACTCGGACGTTTATGAAGCCATTATGGTCCGTTGTCCCAAACCAAATACACAAGACTTAACCACTTATGAAACGAAAATTGCGTTTCAGCAAAAAACATTTAACTCACAAACACCTTGATGAAGATTGCAATCCAAATAATATAAATATGATCACTAAATAGCTAAGTAGAAATAAAATAAAACAAGAGAGGAAAAGGAGAGAGAAGTCTACTAAGTCATGAGCACTAGAAGAAATCTCTACCCTTCCTTCGACGACTGTCAAGCTGACAGCATTCATGTCAAGAACACTGAAAGTGATAAAGAAGAGGAACTTGATAGTTCACCAAAGGCTTCCAAAATTAACGAATTAAATCAGAGTTGAGTTAATTGAATCGAATGTTGCATCCGGATTTGAACGACTAGAACGAATGCTTGAAAGTGTTAGCTCGTAACGAACGGACGGATACCGGTTATTCAAGGTCACAACAACAGGTTTGAGAGCTAACTACAATACATCACAATAAAACAGAGTAGCCCTAAGCAATAAGCCCTTCCTCTGAATAATATTATTAGTAGATCAATAAAAAAAACACTTTTCCGTCTCACGGAAACGGTGCGGATATGAGGATTCTGTTTTTGAGATAACTTATTTTACGAGTTCCTGTCCGTTTAAAATAACAAAATGCTAATTGCTAATGTAAAAACAGTCTGTACATGTCACTAGCATTTTGTCAATTTCAACGGACAGACACTATTAGTGAAGAGCATTTAAAATTGCTCTCAATGGTATTGTAATAAATAAAATTTTCAGCAACTCGAGTGGAATAAAACTAACTTCAATTTGTTGTGAGCCTCCCGGATGTCTACATTCGATCCCTTGGTATCTGTCACCGGTCTGCTCCCGTGACGCTCTGTGATCTAACCCAGTTCCCTATAAAAGGGGCTGGCGATCTCTTCTACGTTCTTCTTTCTTATATACTTCTTTACCTTAATATATTATCATGGATTCGCTACAACACAATTTTAAATTACAAATTGTTATTTTTTCTTCCCATTTATAAAAATCGCATCGTTTCCGTGAGACGGAAAAGTGCTCTTTTGAAAAGCGAAGAAATGGTCTTTTTATTGCTCTAGCACCAGCAGTAGTAACACTAGTAGTAATAATATTCTGTGGCCGAAAACCAGTCATATGGGGCTTGTAAACCTATATAGTAACTAAAAACACATTTTTATCCTCTGAAATGTAATCTATAAATAATTTTAATAATTGTAGTTAATTATAGTTTGGGCGTGTAGCGCAGTTGGTAGCGCGCTTGCCTTGCAAGCAAGAGGTCTTGGGTTCGATTCCCAACTCGTCCATTTTTATATTATTTTAATTATATACTTATATTTTGAACGTTGCTAGGTTTTTTCTTCAACCGGTCTCTCCAATCACACAAATTTCCGGATGATGATGCTTCCGAACTCAGCGAGGTCGGGATGCTGGCTCACCAAATCAAAGAGCCTAGAGTTCCTCAAATTCATCTGGATGCACAACACAAAGCTCGCCACTTTTATGTCGAGAACACCCACTGGCCCATCTTGCTCTTTGCTTGCAATGTGCTCGCTCAACCTCTTCACCAAGAACTTCATGTTCCTGAAACGCTCCTCCATTTCCTCCTCCACCTTGCTGCTGCTGTTTTTGCTGCTCTGCTGGTCTCTGTCCTGTCTTCCTCCATCGCCATCGTAGTTGTAGCCACTTTTCCAGCAGCTGCTCCACCACTTGGTGCTAAATTGCCCCAAATACCCCACAATATTGGGATTTCTGAGGTGGAACTCGTTCCTCCTCACTAGCTGGGGTATTATCTGCAAAACCCTTATTCTCTCAAATACATCATATCCACATGCCCCATCTTTATCCTCCCTTTTCTCGCTACTGTTACTGCTCTTCTCAGCCAACTTGCCAATGCTAATCCCCCTGCCACTCTCATCCTCATCGTCATTACCATCATCCAAATACAACTCGCCCAACTTTTCTCTGCATCGCTTGTCTGTCAACAATGCAATCATGTAGTTGTCGTACATTATCTTATCAACCAATCGCACCATTAACGCTTCCTTCTTGTCTCCAATTTTGCTCAATACCAACCGGTTAATTTCATTATATCTCTCCATCTTTCTTATCCATTCCAGCTTCTCATCATTTCCAACCCGCTCATATTCAATCAACATTGGCAAATTCATATCTTTGGAACCATGGTAAGGAATATTCTCAATACTATTTTTCCATCCAAATTCAGCCTCGTCTACCTCATCTACTCTGGGGATCTTTAACTGGTTCTTCATACACAAAACCATTTGTAATGACAATGACAACGGATCAGAGCAAATTACATACTTCTCATTATCCAATTTGACCTCCTTTAAATTATACGTGCACATTGTAAAACAGCGGATTGAGTCTTCCTGTACATTCCCAGTTCTGCTCTTACCTTCACTATTCTGCTGTTTGCTTTCTGTTCTTGACGAAAAATAAAACACTTTGTGCTTTCTATCTTCATTGACAGTTTGATTATCCTGGTAAACAACCAATGGAAACTTTTGAAACAAGTTTCTGACCGCTAATGGAACAACCGAAATCATAATGGCAAACAAGCTTCACCTCTAGATCTCTTTCTTTTATTTGTTCAGCGATTTCTCACATTCATTTCGATTGAAAAAATATAAATTGTAATAAAAAAAAAGATGCAAAAATAAAAAAAAAATACTAATAAAAATAATAAATAAATAAGACTGATTCCTGATATTACACCAGATCCGTGATAGTTTAGTGGCTAGAATTACCGCTTGTCGCGTGGTAGACCGGGGTTCAATTCCCCGTCGCGGAGTGTATCTTTTTTTATTGTGAATTATGTATTCTCAACCATCATCTCTTTATGTCCATAACTTCTCCATTGCTGGTGCTGATCATCGAGAATCCTTTCTTTTGTAATTGTCTGACCCTTCTGGAATCAATTCGAAAATCTCTTTTGCAAGCATCTAATATAATGGAACTCTTGGGACTATAAATTTTAATCCCAGGGAACCAACGAGTGAACATATCCACAACCAGATCAGGTTTGTCAACTGGATAACACATCAAGAACAAGTCTACACTAACATTGGATAACATTCTCAATCTCTCATGCAAATAATCAAAAAATAGCTAGAAGGCCCAATTGAAATCAACAGAGAAAATATTCATACCTCCAAGCTGATCTATTTTATATATCAACCAATGAGTGAATATTCAATTGCAATACTTTGTATAATTTTGATTTTATAATCCAAACAACAGAGCATATTATAACTAGATTAAAAGACATGAAATGCAGTTAAAGGTGCTTAAAGTTAATCTGGTCGTTAATATGGTATTGCAATATATCGATTGGAATCTTGGAGTCTGAATCGTCAGTGATATATATATATATATCAAAATACAACATGGCCTGAAATCTATTTGACACCTTGCTATTTTCTAGGTTTCCTTATTGATTCTTCCTAACTTAAAAATTGTTTTTCCAATTAGTTTTCATAATTGAAAAAATTTAAAATCTGTCTTCTTTGGAATCAGCATAGTTACCTGATTTGTTTTTGTTTATAGACTTCTAAATATTTTCTAAGGTTTTTTGATTTTTGAATCCAACCCCATTTAAATACACAAAAATATTTTTGATCAAATTGTTTGAAGGAATTATTTTTTGAGCTTTGTTAATGAACTCTTGATTGGTAAGCTTATTATAAACTTTATTTTTTTCTTCTTGAACTTTTGGAATCTTTGCAACAGTTATCTTTATATACTCTACGTTTATGTTTACCATTATTAGAATCATTCAATAGCTCTTTCGAGTGTGTGGAAACTGACGAAAAGCAATGAAATAATGAATCTCGGATTATAAGATGCAGAGAGTAATAATAAGTAAGATTCCAATTAAAGTTAAGCTACAAAGACATGGCAACAAAGCATTATAATCTATTGAAAATCTTTAATAGGACTTGGGATTTGAAGTTCAGTTTATTCATTTATAGAACAGAAAAGATTAAGATGGAACGAAATAATAGCTCCAAAGTAGGGCTTTAGAAGAAATTAGGGTAAACGATAAAAATAATTGGAATTTGAACCTGAAACCGCAGCACAAATTCAGGTTACAAAAATAACAAAGCTCCAGAATAACCAAAAATCAATTATTGATTTATGAAATTCTCTTTTGACGAAAAAATCCAAAGAAATGAAAATTCATTGCAAAACTAAGTCTCATGCGATTCAATGATTGGAATTTCAAGGTTTTTTTCACCAATCAATCAATACTCTGACATAATGTATTTGTAATTTTAATTTTTTTAATTTTATTTATTTTTAGATATTCATTTAGTTGTATTTCACATCCTTCAAAAGAAGTTTTCAAATCTCTTTTTTCATAAAATTCTATTTCCTCCACAAACAAATCCAACATATCCTTTGGAAGCCATAATGTGTCCTCAGTTTTTCTCCAAAATGATGGATGTAAAAACGTATAATCGAAGTTGTTAATTCCAAAACACCCCATTTCATTGATAGCTGGATTTGTATTTCTGCTCACTGTTTCATAACTTTCTACTTCTTCTAAACCAATTGAATAAATATTTTTTCTGTAATAATCATTAATATAACATTCAATATATATGCTTATTCCCAAAACGCATATCATCACAATGCCCTGTTTAAGACAGACATTTTTACCACTAGTATTTTTTATTACAAAAAATAATCCGCTTAGCGTTATTTCTAGAAAAAAGATACCAGAATTTAACTGCAATAATCCATTTGGATACAACTTGCCATTTGTCTCACTTCTTTTTTTGCCCAGCTGGTGGCCACTATATTTATATTTTAAATTGTATTTAACTGATACAATTATGACACCAAATATAATTGCACAGAATATTGATATAATGGGATTGATGACCGAAAATGTAATACCAATTACACCAAACAATGAAAAAATAGGATATATAGATCCCCAATCATAATCACAGCCTAAAATCAACTGTTTTTCAAGCATTGCTCTAGGTGTTAAAGTGCATTTCAATTGAAAGTTGCAAAATAAAAATAATTTTTGAATTATCATATAAGGCTGTAATAATGAGCCACTAAAAAACGACAATCCTTTTAAAATCAAAAAATTTAAAAAAAAATTGGAAGCTTTAGATAAATCACTAGAGACGATCATTAACAACGATATTGGATTGTTAATTAAACTGATTACCAAATTAAATAAACCAATTGATAAAGCAACAATTAAAAATATATTGATGAAAAAAAACAAAAATAACCAATATTGTATGTCAATCTGAATTTCTGAACCAGTTGGAATTCCCTTTGCAAAGCTTAACGAGTAGAAAATACTTGGAATTAATTCCGATAGAAAGCTTAAGAATAATGCTGGCAAAAAATTTGAAACTAACTGCTTGAAAAATAAAGGAAAACTATTTAAAAACTCTAAAAACGGTAATAATGTCGTGAGATATGGCAATTGGCTCAAAAAACTAATAAAGATAATGGGTATGATCCAAAATATAATTAAACAGATAGTTAAAGCATTAAATACAAAATATCTTGCAAGTTTGATCCAACCATTATCAATAGAAATATTTTCCCAAATAATATCATGAGGATCAATTTCAATCACCTTTGAATTGCAAGCATTCCAATTGTTGCTAATTAATAGCTGATTTAGGAGATAAGGAGAAATTGGATTATAAAATTCGACAAGTACTTTATTAGTTTTTATTATTTTTTGATCATTTGATTTGCCATTTTGAAACAAGTTGATAAATTTTAGTCTTTCGTTTATTAAGATTTTATTTACTTTGTGATATTTTTGAATTAATTTATCAATTTTATTAAATTCATGGTTAATAAAAGAATTTGCTGATGTATCATGATTAGGTTGAATATTGATTATTTGAGTATTATGTTGGGTATTTTTGATATTATTTGTGCTATTGTTTTTATTTAATCTAATAAAATCACGAATTAGTTTAGTATTTTGTTGTTCTATTTGGTTCAATATTTTTTTAGATTCTTGGTAAAAAGCATTTACTTTTTCAAAATCATAAATAAACCAAACATTTTTAATTCCACCAGGCAATAAATTTATTGATTTAAACAACTGATTATTGAAGACGTCAAGATTCAAATATTCTTTAGGGAAATTGTCAATCATTATTACATTAACTGACTTGAATTTTGGTTCTATGTAATCCGAATTGTTGAATTGGGTTTGAATTTGAGTTTGATTTAAATTTGAATTGTGATTCATAATCCCAGAGGATTTATTAGGATTCTCATGACTATATTTGGTGTTTTTTTGAAGTAAATAGTTTGTTCTTATTCTAAAATAATGATTTAATTCGCCAAATAATAGATAATAGTAATAACAGATTGAGATTATGGCCATAACTAAATGAGCTGTAAGTCGATTGTAGTAAACAGGAGAAATATTCAAAAGAGTCAACTGATTCAAAAAATTTGTGCTGGTACCATTGAAATTATCAAGACGATTTTTATCATAGTTATCATAAGCATTATCGTGATGTGAGTAATAATTGATGGGAACGAGTATGGAGACATTTAGTATAGATAATCCAAGAAACAAAAGAACTAAAAATTTCAAAAACCTAAGAAAAAAATACGAGTCTAATCCATAAACCAAGTAGTCATCCAGCTTGTGTTTAAAGCAAGGCATTACCCATCCCAAAAAATGATTTTGATAAGGATCATTTATTTTGTCATTGTCATTGTCATTGTCATTGTCATTGTAATTGTCATTGTCATTGTCATTGTCATTGCCATTGTAGTTGGTTTGTTCTTCGATCAAGTCATTGTTGTTGTAGATGGAGCTGAATTTGAGGCGAATGTAGGAGAACAACAGTAACTGAAATAAACATAGCAGCAGCGATAGTGAAATGGAGGAGTAGAAGGAATTGAGAGAGTAGTTGTCTGAAGAAACTAAACTGGAGAACTCTGTGCTGCTATTGAGACTGCTGTTGATGCTGTCTCTTATCAGCTTGGTATGAAGGTTTGGGCCAACGTTGTGCATTTCAAAGGTTCAGCGTTAAAACCTCCATCAAATACCCCAGCACCAAACTGTCCAGCGCTACCTTTATATATCGACGCTTACTTTTGTGCTCCAGGTGGCAATTGGCACAGACAGCCAGGAAGAGACGTGCTTTATCCACAAGAAGAGTTGGTTTGCATATTAGTGTAAGTTGTTTATTAGCTCTATATAAACAAATGCTTTCTAAAATAGTACCAAGCTGGCAAAGAAAATGAGCTGCAATTTTGCAAAAACAAAAACCCGGCCAAAAGAAAAAAATAAGTATAATACCGAAATTATGAAAATTATGACAATTAAATGAATTATGTGAATTAGGGAAATTGTGTGAATTGTGTGAAATACGTGAGATTAAAAACATAAACCTTTATAGTTGAAAAAATGTCCTATTGTTTTCAAAGCCAAAAAAAAAGGTTAAATAGAAATGTTTATATTATTGGAGGATATAAATTATTTTAGAAATTAGGTTAATGTAGCTGTACTATTACTATACGAAAATGTATAGCTTGTTAAGGAAAACTCATCATCATTGGTGCTAATCGTCAAAGTTTTAGTATCTTCAGATAAGCATGTCTGAATGTTGGTTAAGTGCGCTGAAGAAACACTTGTATAAATACTTGTGTATTCTATTACTTTCAAATCTGAGCAAATTGGTGTACCACAGACTGTGGTTGTTAAAACAATACTTGGAGATATTTCTTTTTCATTGCTATGTTCTGAAGCTACTGATTTGGTTGATGGATATGTGGGAACAACTTTTGAAGACTCCGATGTACTTGTAATTGGATCGGTTATGTAAATCGAACTAACGTGAAATTTGGTAAAAACTTTTGTTGTGACATAGGTGTAACAATAAGTTGATGGTAAAATCTTTGTTGAAGTATCGTCACATTCTTCACATGCAGATGTTATGAATTCTGTATATGTAACAGTTTCAGTAATTATAGATGTGCTTTCAGTTGAAAATACGGTTTCAGTTAGCTCGAGATATTCACTGATAATATTGCTGCTTTTCAAGTTTAGATTTTTATCATCGTTTTTCATTGTAATAGAAGTTTTACTGGAAGTTTCACTAGAAGTTTCCTGAGGAGTTTCGGGGACACCTGAGCTTATTTTGAGTGTTTGAAGTATCCAAGGTTCTAAAGTTTTGGATTCAACTTCAGGAGTTATTGTTTCTGTTTGTAGACTTTGAGAGAAAACTGATTTACTTGGAATTTGTGATACAGTGCTTTGGATCAAAGTATCTGAACCATCGGTATTATATAATAAAGTGTTCAGACTTTCTCCAAAAACAGTTGATAATTTATTTGAGCTTTTGGAGATAGTTGCAACTAAACTGTTATTTATATTTGATGTTGAACTTGAAGAACTATTTTGCAGTGTCTGCTTTTGATCGATAATCTTTGAAGTTTGAGGTATATATGATTCAGTTTTCAAAGTTTTATAAAAAGTAGTTTCATGTGCTTTATCTTTTGTTTTAAATGAACTTGTTGTACTATCAAAGTTTTCAATTTGGTGCTCATGAATTTTTTTTGTGCTTTTTGTAAATGACTCATATACTTCTTTTGGTATTGGACTTGATGTGATTGTGGTTGTGAATTGATTTATTGAGGTTTCTATTAGCTTTGATGTTTGAAAAGTTTCAATTTTAGTACTTGTGAGATAGGTGTCTCTGGGAACCTCATATGAAGAAACGCTGATAACTAAGCTTTCCGAAACTGTTGGAATTATTGTATCTGACAATTGATACATTTTTGTGGTTATAATAGTTGAAGCTTCATTTTGGGAGGATGATGGTTCATCATCATGAGCTATTGGAGTAAATTGGGTATTATAATTATTTTCAAAACTAGTAATTTCGGATTTTATAGTTGCTGTCTTTGAGTCAAATGAGATTTGAGAAGATGAAGAAAAAACTTTATAATTAGTTTCAATTGGATTAATGACTATTTTAGTTTCACAAGGGGTAGTATAGGATACAGTTACAGTGGTATCATATTCTGTTTTTTGTAATGTTTTTGTGACTGTTTTTTCAGGTATAATTGTTGAAGTTAGAGTATCATCATAAATATTAATAAAACTACCGGCACATAAGAATAGATCCCAGTCATTGATATTGTCTTGGTTACCAAAAGCCTTTAAAGATCTTAGCAAAATTTGATATTTACCAGCTGGGAAATTTGGAATATTATTTAAACCTGAAACATCACCGTAAACAAAATCATTAAATCTAGAAGGACTTGACTGTGAAAAAATGGAATAGTTACTTAAGCCATCAAAAAGTTCTAAAGATGATATCCATTTGGGGTTATCACTTGGAGGATATGTGAAATCTTGTAAAGTGTAATCATTTGAAACTAAATCGAAAGCAAATTTTGGAGATCCATAGAGAATTCTATAGTATATTGAAAAAGTGTCACGATTTTGGATGTCAAAGATACGGTCATTTTCAGATAAATCAATTAAAGTGCCATTATTATCTGCAATACAATAAGCTTCTAGGCCAGACCAATCATTGGTTGAAAGTTCAACGCCCATATAAGGAATTTTTAAGATTTCATCATTGGAGCCTGTAATGACGATTTTTCCGGAAAATAAATAGCCATCGGAAAATGAATAAGTTATTGGAGGAGATATATCGACAGTAATGTCAGTTAATTCGCCCGGTTTTAAAGTAAAGCAAGTTTTTGAATAGTTAATTATTGCCTGTGAGTAATCGTAGTCAGGAAAATAAGATGATGGAATCCAATTTTCATCTCTTGCTTTAACAGTTGCAGCGCTTTCATGAGAAACAAGATAGGTAACATCTTCACAACCACCATTGTAAATTGTAATGATATGATTTGAGATTCTATGATCTGTATCATTAAGCACTAATAGGGGGTCAGATAAAATACTTGTAGAATAATCTACAAAATTAATGGCATTAACTAAGCCTGAACCTTGTTGATTTAAAGGAGCATTTAAATTTGAATCAGATTTACCAAATTCATTAAAAAGAGATAAAGTTGAGGCAGTTGATATCAATTTATTTCTGATTGTTTGTGGCGATGAATTTGGATATAGTGATTTATAAAGAGCAATGACACCAGTGATGTATGGGGCAGATAAAGAAGTTCCATTTCTTGATTCTAAATTATAAAGGTTTTGACCAAATATGTCAGCACCAGGAGCTGAAATAATTGGATAAAAATCATTTTGAAAAGTCGGACCCCAGGAGGAGAAAGAACTCATTTTACCAGCACCGAGAGATTGTAGAGGGAAGGGAGTCATTTTATCAGAAGAAGATAATTTTAGAGAGATTGAATTGCCTAGAGACAATTGTTTTTGAATCCAAGAATTGACTGAGTCATGAAAAGTTATAACATTGGAGGAGGAAGGTAGAGAAAAAGGGTTTTGAGAGAAATTATAATATTGAGGGTTTTGAGAGGATAAGAAAATGAATTTATCTTGCAAGTTGTTTAGATTGCAATTAATGTTGTTGGGATCAAGAGAGAGATCATTTAAATTTGAAAAAATAAAGGAATTTTGAAAAGAAAATTGATTAAGATTTAAATTACAAATATTTTGGGAAGAATAATAAATTGGGAAGGTACCAGATAAATTTAGTTGGGTATCATTTTTGGAGAAATAGTTAAAATCCAAGACTTGATTATTTGAGGAGATTAATTTAGCAGGCCATGATATGTATTGAATTGGATTAGTTGAGCCAACAGAGATAATATCCTTATTTGAAGCGAAAGCAGTGGAATAGAAATTACCTAGATCACCGGAATTACCGGCAGATAAGACGATGGGAATAGATTGAGCTATATTTGATGCTAATAAAGAGATTGGACTATCAGAAAAGCCATCATAAGAACCCAAAGATAAAGAGATTATGTCAGGATTATCATTAGCTGCATCAGTGAGAGCTTTGATGATAGTTTGAGTTGAAGCTTGATTATTGCAATCGGATACTTTGTAGACTCTTAGTTTTGCATTGGGAGCTACACCGACAAAGTCTTTTGTTTGGCCAGCAATGACACTGGATATAAATGTTCCATGGCCTTCACAATCGATTGGGTCATTTGGATCAAGAGCGCCTTCAACGTAGTTACGACCAAATTCCACTTTGAAGCCTGGGCCGATCCCACCACCAAGAGAAGGCAAGTTGTAGTTGATACCAGTGTCGATGATGGCGATGGTGATATTCTGACCAGTGATGCCACGTTGGTGAAGTACATCTACACCAGTTAGCTTGTGGGGATTGTAGCTTTGTTGATTTAATAGAGATTGATAATTGTTAATGTGGTGATCATCATCATCATCATCAATGGAAGCAAATGAATGGTTTTGAATTGTCCAAACTTTTGATATATCTTGTAAGGCTTCTAAAATAGATACGTAGTCTTCGTCAGCATCAGAAGAGATTTTAATAGCAGCAGCGGATAAGTAATTAGAGGATAAGTCATCTATTTGAGCAGAAATATTTAGAGCATTAAGAGAAGATATGAGAGTAGCTATTAGGGTTGCATTTGAAGTAGCTCTCTTTTTTTTAGTGGATGAAGACGAAGAGCCTAATTGGACTAAGAACAAACCTTTAACTGAGGTAGTTTTGAATGGAGTAGAGCTGGTCAAGTCAGTTTGAGATCTTTCATATATACTCCGGCCAGTGGCAGCTTGAGAGTTTTGTTGAGATGCTTGAATGAAAAGAGATATGGAAAGAAGAAAGACTAGGAGAGAACTCTGATTGAAGAAATTAAAAAATAACATTAGTGAAATATGAGGAAGCGAGAGAAAATGAGATGATTAAACTAATGAAATCAATGAAACGAAAGGGAAACAAAAATAGTGAAGGAAGAAAAAATAAATAAAAAAAGGATTACACTAGGAAAAACCAAAGAAACCAAAAAAGATAAGATATATAAAGAGAGAGGATTTCGCGAGTCGAAAAAAGCTCAAAAGACGAAAAAGTATAAGAGAAAGCAGAGATCAAATAAACAAAATATAAAGAGATTAACGAAATAAATGATCAAAAAATGAAGCAGCGAATGATGTTGGCACATACAAAAAGAGAGAGGAATCTATTTAAAACACCGCCATCCAGCTAGCGCTTCTTAATATAGGAATTGAGGAGGTTTAAGTGGTCTCTTAGCAGTATGTTCTTAATATAGATGGGCCCAGAGATCTTGTACCGTGCAGGGTCGACGTTGCTATGGTTTGCACTTCGGTGCACAGCCCAGAGCCCGGCTGGGGCGGAAAGCCACAGGGCTGCCAGGAGGCAGCCCAAAACAACAGGGGCTTCTGTGTGGCCTACTGTGTGTCGCTTTGGAATTTAGTTTCTGGCATCACTCAAGTAGCGCTGGCGCATGTGTTTCACGTGCAAACTTGGTGTTTTTACAGGGACGACTGCTGCGACATTCTGTGCATGTGCAAGTTTACTTTTTCGGCTACAGAAGAAACCAAATATGAATTCAGACCACAGACAAATCTCAGAGGACCGCCGAGACTTTCATTTGCCGAACTGCATTTTTAGTGTCATTAAACAAATATTTACAGAGAGCGTGCTTGAAATCCCGATCAGGTGGGTTTTAAATAAATATTTCATGCAAGCAGTTTGTAATCGTTCCCAATTGGCTGATGAGAGATAAATGTCAGATTTCCCTATACTTCACATCCAACATCATGTCACAAGTTACTTTATACCTTTTTCTTTTTCCTTCAACTTTTATTTTATAATACCAAATCATTGGACTTAATATCTACTGTAGACTTGACAATGGTCAACCCAAAAACGATGAAGATCAAGGGTTTAAATAGGTGATATTTATAGCTAACACAAGATCGTTCTTCCCACATCTAAATGGACGTTAATGTCTACTAGAAAAGTGCTTTTATTCTTACTTTTTAAAACAAGCAAAGGCGCAGAAAAAAAAACCATCAGCAGGAGTCCCGTGCATATTTGAAACCAGCAATGTGCATATGGTTACATAAGCATTTTATGCACGTGATTCAGAATTTTGCTTGTGGTTGCGCGGGCTTGGTGCACAAGCTGCGGTCGCCGAGACGAGCGGGGCCGCCGGGAGGTTGGCGCTTTACAGCCCTGGCTAGGCCCTACAGCTTGGCAGATCGGCCCGAGCGCGCAGATTAGTATGCATAACGCTCGGGCCGGATCCGGCTGAGGCCCAGCCCATGTCTCGGGGGAAAAAGACCGGTGGGCAACGCGTGCGACATCGAGCGAGCACAGCTCGATGTGAGGAACAGAAGCTATTGTGTTCTTATGAAAGCTAAATTGATAGAAACGTTTTTATCAAAAATTCTAAAACCTAATTGCTCAACAATGATAATTAATATTATTCTCAGAGCTTCTCTTTCCAGTGTATCCTGTTAGTCTGTAACCTTATCACTGACTATTTCCATCAAAAAACTGCCTTCAGACACTTTCTATCACTCCTTCACTATTTCGACGTGAGTGTGTTAGTTGTGCTTATTTAGACTTAGTGCATTGCACCCAGACCAGGTCTTGGTTGTGTGCTTGGATGATTCTCTGCCTCTTTTGTCGTTGTTTCTGCTGCTTCTTCTCTCCATTCTTTTTGATTTTTGCTGCTGTTTTTGCTGTTTCCACTGCTACTGCTGCTTCTGATATCTGTGCTTCTTCTTCTACTGCTTCTGCTATTTTTTCTGCTTCTTCTTCTTCTTCTTTTCTCTCTTTCACTGTTTCCCCAGCCGAGCAATGCCACTGCACGCCAATCTGCGGCTGTTTTCGAAACTGGGACGTTTCGCGCCCAACCTTGCGCACCGCCGCTATTGTAGGCAAAGCTTTCTGCCTTTTTGCTCTTTTCTCGCTTTTTCTCTCATGATTTCGCCCTCTTTTTCATTTTCTGATTTTCGGAATCGGGACATTCTTCCCTTTTCTTTTCTACCTCCTACCACTCTCTACTCTTTCATACTAATTGTTGTTTTTTTACTTTTAATTATATCATAATATTATATTACTATTGTTTTTACATTCAACCTTTTTAATAAAAAAAAACGTAAATCAAACCGTTATGTCTATTTAGATTTTCAATTTCAATCTAATTCTTTCTATACAAACTCTCTTTTCCTCATTTACTTTTATAAATATCATAATGTATCCTAATTTAATCTTCTTGAATTTTATCTTTTTATCAATTCATAAAACTCCCTTTCCATTTCTCTTGAAAGAAAAAAGAAATTAAAAGAATAAAAACTAAAAATTAAATTCCTTTTTCTAATTATTATTCTTTAAAACCTAATAATCATCATTCAATAAAATCTTATTTCTTTAATCTTCTTCATTATTCTTCCATATCCATTAATTATTAATGAGTCAAAATCATCCTTCAATTTCGAACTTGCAATTTCATTTCAACAATTTAGATAATCTAGATAATTTCTTTCTTTCTGATAATTTAAATACCATCAATAACATCAACAAAAATAACAACGATATCATTAAAGATTCCACTAATATCCTGAATATCTATCCTCTCCGTACTATGCTGAAAAATACAAAAAAAAATAGTAAAAGTAAAAATAAAAATAAATTCAAATCATCTTCTCCAATATCTAACTCACTGCTGTCAGATAATCAACTATCCAATAACAGCAACATCAATAACAGCAACATCAATAACAGCAACATCAATAACAATAACAATAACTTAATTAATCCAATTTTCTTCATCAATCAAAATAATATTAAAAGCCAAAATCCTTCTCTAAATTATCCTTTAAACCAACTCTTATCTCCACAATTAACAAGCAATACTCCCTTTAATAATAATAATATCATCAACAATCATCAACTTCAAAATTTAAATCTATCAAATTATAATTATAGCTATAATTATAACTATGATTCTAATAATCAATTGATATTTAATCATAATAGCCCTAACAGCCCTAACAATCCTAACAACCCTAATAATAACAAAAAGTATCCATTTATTTTACCAAATTTGCCAAATACAAATAAAAATAATCTTTTAAATGAAAATTCAATTAACGGCAGTAATCTTATCGATACCAACAGCAATGTCATTAAAAACATCAATAAAAATAACCAAATTAATTTCAACAACCAAATTGTCGGAAATGTATTTGATAATTATAACAACAAAATCCCAATCACTCAATCTGCTGTCTCAAAAGCTTATGACATCGCTGAAGATACTGCTGCTAGAAACTCAGGTTTGCCAAACCGTCGTAGAAAAAGAGTCTTTCACAATGATTATAACCTTGATTTTAATGAAAACGATCATACAATTATTAATGATAATACTGAAATCAATAATCAGGAAATTACAATCACCATCAATAACAACAATAATAATACCTTCACTTGTGATAAATGCCAAAAATCTTTCAGTAGAGCTTATAATTTAAAAAGTCATCAAAAGACTCATTCAAATGAAAAACCCTTCCCATGTAAAATTTGTGGTAGGCCTTTTGCAAGACAACATGATAGAAAAAGACATGAATTCTTACACCAAGGTATTAGAAATTATAAATGTGGGGGTTATTTAAAGGATAATGTAACCAAATGGGGTTGCGGTAGAAAATTCGCAAGAAGCGATGCACTTGGTAGGCATTTCAGAACTGAAACTGGTTGGTTATGTATCAGACCATTATTAATAGAATCAAAACAACAAGAAGATTATTTGAAAAGACAATATCAACTCAATTTAAATAATCATCAAATCCAAAATATTAATATGATTAATAATAACAATAATAACAATTTAAATTCAAATTTACTTCCAAACTTAAATACTTTTGACAACCAGCAATCAACTTCTGCAACTGGCTCAAATTTAAATCCTAATTTATTTAATAATATGAATAATAGTATCATGAACAACCTCTATTCAGGTATCAACTTTAATGAATTTGATGATCCAAATTCCACAAACGAAATGGTTATCACTGATCTATTGAAAAAAGCATCTGATTTTGAAGAGTCTTCATAACTTGAACATAGATTTAATGACAACATGATTGAAATAAAACAACGCTTTATTTATTTTTCATTTTGATTATTATTGTTGTTATTATTACTGTTATTATTTTCCAAATTGTGCTAATTGTGATTAATTATGATTACTTATTACTTAATAATCAATATTTTTGAAATAAAAATGATTGAATGATTGAATGATTGAATGATTGAATGATTAAATAAATCCAAAAAAAAAAAAAAGTTATTTTGTTCAACTGCTTTTTTTATAACCTTTTTAAACTTTAACTAACTACTAAACCCAATTTATTAAGCATTTAATTGAAGAAAACTTTCTTATCATTAAACTTCTTGTTTGATATTTCCACCATATATCTTACACCTTAGTTTTATTCATGTTGTTTTTCTTATTTGTCTTATTTTTTTTATCTATTATGTTTTTATCTATTATTTTTATCATTCCTTCATTTTATTTTAAATTTTTATCGTTATTATTTTCTGATTATTTAAAACATTTTTTTTAATACTTTTTGAATATGCAGCTTTCTCATTTTCAGATTTAATAAATATCAACTATTCAATTACCAACTTACTAATTTGTACATTCCAATTGTTTAAACCACTTGATTTTTCAAATAAAATTTTCTGAAATGTTGAAAGAAATAAAAAAAACATTAACAAAACTATTAAAAGGAAAAGGAAAATAAGCAGATAATTAACCAAAAAATAACAAAGTTAATAAACTAGTTAAATGTAAAAGAAAAAGAAGAAAATGGGATACTTATATTAAAACAAGTGAAAGAAAAAGAAAGAAAAATGTAGAAAAAGTAGGCTAATTTTTTATTTTATGTTTTAAATTTAATTTTTAAGATTTTTTTAACCGATTATAATCTTCCTTTCCAATTGGAAGATTAAATAAAAATATAAAACAATCATGGAATAAAGAGTAATACAGTATATAAATTGATGTATTATCATGGCTTAGTTGCACTTTGGCTGAAAGAAAATAAGTTTGTTTTTTTCTTTATTTTAGCCTCAGTTTCTAAAGAGAGTGGGTTTGCTTATGTCAGCTCACGTGCTTGAAAAATCTAAAATGAGAAATCTGGGCTATTGTTGACAACCCATCGTATCCGGAACTCTGTCAAAACAGGAGCTGTTTTTGATGCGAAAACAACGACAATCAATAGACCGTCTTCGGAATCAATAGACTTTGCTTACGGTTGTTTTCGAATACGAATTTTGGTGTGATAGTCAAGCATCGACAGCCGTTCGTCATTAATTGTTTGTCATTTCGTCCATAAAAACATGCTCAGCATTTAGAAACCTCAGTTTAGATTCCAAACTTTATTAAAGAATTAAGCCTGGCACTGTTTTATCCACATAACATATGTAGAAAATGATTTTATTATATCACAAGATTATTTCAAGTTTCTTAAGCTTTTTCCACACAAATTGCTACCTGTGAAAGCAGATTGGTTTGATAGTACTATATTAATCTAGCAAACATAAAGTTGTTCAGTATTGATATAATTTGATAGAAATCCTTACTTTTTGGCATTTATTTATTTTTTCTAAGAGTAAATTTTAGTCTATATAATTATGCATTCACTATTTTTAAGACAAAAGTAGTGGAATAGCACCCATTTGGCAGATCTAATGTTTTTAAAACAGGTTTGATTATTTTTCTCAGTGAATCTTATTGGTTAAAGTAGACATTATTAAAGATGTCTAATGAAACCACATCGATCAAAAAATTCATACAGTTTGGATCATCAGTCATCAAAGAAAAAGTAAAAATATTAGAACAATTTTTGAGATATTTTTTTGATTTTAGAGAATCTTTGTCACTAAACGACAGTTTGTAAATAGATGATATATAATGTAGATTTTGCTTTTCCATATTTTGAAAACAGACTGAATTTTCTATTTACTTTAAATTTATTAAAAGCTTTTATTTTTTTCCTCGATTTGAATGTACAATCAAAACAGAAAAAAATTAAAAAAAGAATAAAAAAAATTTATTTTACCAAAATGACAGATTTTATTTCATTTGTGAAATCAGTTATTCAATCAGCTAATCGCTAGAAAATTATTCTATCCATAAAAATGTACTCCAAAAAAAAATGCGGTTGGTGAGTGATATGTAACAAAACTAATATAAAAAGATTAATAATCTGTATCCAATAGCTTTTGGCAAATATTTTCTTTGAAATGACGCTCAATTGATTTATTGAAAGTTTAAAAAAGAAGATTTTTAGCTTAAAACCTGACTTTAACTTGCTATAATGAAGTTTCTTAAAAAAGCATCAAAACTACAAATTGGGATGATTAGAAGTGTAAATGATATCAATATTTGAATGAAGTGCCAACGCTTTATTCTGGATATTTGATTCATCAGTCTGAAAAAGATTGAAATGAGAAAAATAAATATATACAAATCTGTTGGCTTGGAAAAAAGGAGTAAGCATGGTTTGCAACCATTAATATAATCAGTCACAGTTAGAAAAGTGGCTATAAATATGTTAGAGGTCAAGGGAATAGAGTTTTTTTCCTGCATATTCGATGCAGACAAGACAAAACAATGCTGCAACTTTAGATCTAGATGCTAACTCACATGTATAGTGTACACAGAATTATCAAACTCTTGTTTCGAATTCTTGTTTTTTCACCATGTTTTTTTTACCACCAAGGAGATGTTCACGTGATCTGTACCAGCAGGACTATTTTTCCTGGGTCTAGCCAGCTTTAAGAAGCTGCCTTTTGTACTTTGTGAGGAGGTGGGCTGAAATACCCACTCTTGTGGGATGCCTCTCCCGTACTGTTTTGTGCTGCTCAGTGTTTAGAATATGGAGTTCATCCCAAAGGCTTTGTTTTCAGCATGGAGGTGAAAAAAACAGGACAAAGATCATCCTAAAACTCAGAGCAACACCACAACAGCAAACACGTAAGTGATCCACATCCAATAAAACAGTGATTAAAAGTAAGACCAACCTGAGCTTCCTTAATATTGAAATTTGCTAGACCAGCATTGCTATCAGGCTCTTAAAGAAACGACGAAATATGACTATGTCTAGCACTGTTGCTTCTTCGTAACAGCCATCAATAGTAACAATAGCAGGTTCCAAACCATGTTCAATATCTATTCTCAGAATACACAATGTATGCAATATATGCTTTTATGAGTATTCTTGTGTCTTTTCAGGTCTTTTTATATCTTTTCAGGGGCTTTTTTCAGTTCTTTCAAGATCTCTTTTTAATTTCTTTTCAAATAGTCTCACCAAATCAATGGTCTCACTAAATTAATGGTCCGCCGCTCTTCTGTGCTGTGATTGGTCATTCCTGCCCTCAAATTTGTTGTTTAGTGTTCCCTTTTAAGAATAGAATTTGAAATAGAATTTGGTTTTCTTAAATTACCATAAAAGCCTTCTTTCAATTAAATCAGATTTTTAGTTTCTGTTTATGGTTTCAATTTGTCAACCTTAACAGTCCAAAATAACATCAACCAAAATACTTTAACAATCACTAGGTTAGCCTGTGCTTCATATATATACTGTTGCCAATCCTTTTGTTTTTCCTTTCCTTTCCTTTGTTGTTGTATTTTGTGAACCTGGAATTTCTCAATCGATTTGAACATAGTACATTCATCACTTAAGAATCTTTCGGAAAATTCTTACCGCAGTGGAAATGATTAATTTTTTGACTTTCCTATTTCTTATTTGCTTATTTTTTCTTTCTTGCACAAACGGTGCAAGATCTGCTTCACGTAATGCTTACTATTCTTCTTCCGATTCAGTATCTGTTGCAAATGCTCAAAAATTTCAAACAACTCTCAAACAAAATAAGCTTCTCTTACAATTAGCATCAAGTTCTGGTAGAAGAAATAAAAGAGATGAAAATGAAGATTTATTAAAAGAATTATCTGACTATTTATCTAGTTCCGGTGTTTCTGTCTCTCAAATAGATAATTTATCTTCTGCTTTTTGGAAGGGTGCTTCGCTTGAGGTCAGTCAGAACAACCAACAAAAAGTTTCTAGGCTTTTAAAGAATTCAAAATTGATTAAAAGCTTTTGGAATATTGGAACCCATTCCTTCGCCGCTTTTGATACATGTTTATTGGATGATGATTATAACTCATACTACGACGATAACGAAGGCGACTATTCATCATATCTCAAAAACTACAATCCCCACAAGCTAACTGGTGTAGATGTACTTCACCAACGTGGCATCACTGGTCAGAATATCACCATCGCCATCATCGACACTGGTATCAACTACAACTTGCCTTCTCTTGGTGGTGGGATCGGCCCAGGCTTCAAAGTGGAATTTGGTCGTAACTACGTTGAAGGCGCTCTTGATCCAAATGACCCAATCGATTGTGAAGGCCATGGAACATTTATATCCAGTGTCATTGCTGGCCAAACAAAAGACTTTGTCGGTGTAGCTCCCAATGCAAAACTAAGAGTCTACAAAGTATCCGATTGCAACAACACTGCTGACACAGACACAATCATGAGAGCCTTGACAGATGCAGCCATTGACGAGCCCGATATAATCTCATTATCTTTAGGCTCATACGATGATTCGTCAAGCAACCCAATTTCGGTATTAGCATCCAACATTGCGCAGAAAATCCCCATTATTCTATCTGGCGGAAATGGCGGTGAGCTAGGGCTCTTCTATCCAACAGCTTTTGCATCAAATAAAGATATCATATCAGTTGGATCAGTGTCTAGTCTCCAGGGCATAAGCTGGCCTGCAAAATTGGTTTCAAGCTCGGGAAGCACTTTGGACATCACATACTTCACTGGCAACGATACTCAATGGAATTTTACAGGGTCGTTTCCTGTTCATATTTCGGAACACGACATCTGCCAGCTAGCATCAGGCAGCGATGGTGTCAAGAGAAATCTGTTTCAAAAGAGAAACTACCAATCAAACAGCATTCTTTTAGCAAAGGCAAACGATAACAACTGCTCGCAGCACAGTTTAGAAAGTGCTGGTGACTTTAAATACAGAAATATATTGATGTACACTGCAGATGCCGAGAATTACAATTTCACAGACAACTACTCATCTAACTTGGTGTCTGCACTCGCACCAGATACATTGAATCTTGCCACAGTCAAGAAAGTGGTGTCTTCGTGGGTAGAAAAGGAGTTATTATTGGGCAATTTTGTTACCTTGGAGATCTCAGCTGCCGACGAGATGAGTCCCTATCCTCTTGAGTCGCTAGGTGCTGGGAAAATAAGTGCGTTTTCGTCGTGGGGTCCAACGTTCACAAATGATTTTTATCCAGTTATCTCAGCTCCTGGTGCAGACATATTTGGGCAGGGGTTGAACCAAACCAGGTCCATGAATGGTACGTCTCTATCTGCTCCATATATTGCTGGTGTGATTGCACTCTACAAGAGTGTGTTTCCATATGCCACTCCAGAGGAAATCAGGAACAAGCTTGTTGCCACTGCGTCGACATTGTCGTTGTACAACGAGGTTGGCAAGTCTGAAGAGAAGTTGGCTGCTCCTTTGAATCAGCAAGGGGCTGGGTTGGTAAATGCCTTGAGCTTTGTTGACTACTCGTCGACAATCACATCCAACCCGCTACTAGTTCTTAATGATACAGACAACAGGGTGTCTGAGCACTTGGTGACAGTGTACAATGGTGGATGCGAAGACGTGATGTATGTTTTGTCACACGAAGGCGCTGCTACAATCAAGGCCAGAAACAAGGAGGATGGGTTTCCACAGGTGTACTATCCAGAGTACGACACCAGCGAGGCCCACATCAAGTACTCATTGAGCTCGTTCACTTTGCAGCCCGGCGAGTCAGCGAATGTGACAGTCGACATCACAGCTCCAGTGTCAAACATCACAGATGGGTATTTGTTCTCAGGAAAGATTGTAGTCACTGGCTCCAATGGCGAGATTTTGAAAGTGCCCTATATGGGGGTTGAGTTGTCTACCAGGGACTGGTTGGGTGTGGAAGCATATTGCATTGCTAATGAAAATGGGGAACTTGTTGATTTGGCTGATACCAGTCGTATTTACGATGTGCAAAGCTACGACACATTCTCGATATACTACAGAATTGGATTTGGCTCTCCAACATTTGCATTTGACTTAGTGACGTATGATTACGAGCTTTCAGATTTCAGCTATCCACCAGAAAACAATGCCAAGTGGGTAGGGCCCATCGAACTATGGAATGGAAACGATCAGTTTTCNGTTTTATCGCAGAACAGTCCTAGCAGATTCAACGACTTTGTATATGGTGAAGTTAGTGGTCTTGGTGATGGGCAACCATTTCCAAAAGGAAAGTACAAGATTTTAATTCGTTCATTGCGACCATTTGGTGACGAAAATAATTATGATG